CCCTAACTAACCCTAACTAACCCTAACTAACCCTAACTAACCCTAACTAACCCTAACTAACCCTAACTAACCCTAACTAACCCTAACTAACCCTAATAAACCCTAACTAACCCTAATAAACCCTAACTAACCCTAACTAACCCTAACTAACTAACTTCCATAGCTCCCTTAAATCTTGCCCTGCTGACTTTTCCTTGGTGCCCCCACCATCACACCGTCTTTCTCTATGATCGGTCCTTGACTTTTCTCCCGCTCCCCTTGCCCTTGTCTTGTCTTTGCTTGACTTTCGGTTCCATCATATCTTATCATCTTATCATCTTTCTCCTCTCTCCTCTCTTTCCTTTTCTCCCTTCCACTGGTCTGCCTGCTTCCTTTCCATCTCCTTCGTTTTGCTGCCCTTCCTTGATTTTATCTCCCTTTACCCTTCAACTTTCCTGTCTATTCCCTCTCTGATGCCTTCCCTCCCTTGACTTTCTCCATTTCCCTTGACTCTCATCTCGGCTTCTCCCTCGTGTGTTCACTTGGGGTTTCTTCTTCGCTTTTACTTTTACTTTCATCTTCCATCTGTCTCGCTCGCTTTCGCCCTCCCTCTTGTTTTCCCTTTTTTTTATCTCCCCTTTGACTTGGGTCTTTGCCCTGGGTCCCTTTATTCTATCATCTCTTTTCGCTTTGACTTTTTCCTGGTTTCCTGGTTTCCCTATCCACATCTTTATTTGACCTTTGCTTTCCCTTTTCCCTTTCTCCTTCACTTTTGATTCCTAGATTATTTTATCTCCGGACTCCTCCATTCCCCTCTCTTTGACTTTCACTTCGACATTTGGTTCATCGTTCCATCTCTTTGCTTTCAATTTCACTGTTTCCTTTGCCTCTCTCATTCTTCGATTTTCATCTCTCTCCGCTTTGACTTTTGGTTCATCGATCGTCATATCTCTTGGCTTTCCCTTGGACCGTTCGCTTTCATGGTTCTCTTGACTTGACTTGACTTGGCATTCTTTGATAATGGTATCTCTTGAATTTCCCTTTTCTTCCTTTGATGAATCTCTTGACTTTCGCTTGACTGGGGTGTTGAACGTCCTCTTTGCATTCTTATATCCTGACCTTGGTTCTCCAATCGTCTTCGCTTGAACTATGTATTTTTTATCACAACTGTCCATGTTTCACGCTGATTTCGACTGAAGCTCGCTCAATATTCTTGCATTCCTGACTTTTCCTTGGTACACCCAGGATCACACCATCTTTCTCCATGATGTTCATTATTGCAATTTTTGGTCAAGATTTCCCACCACCTAGGCTGGCACACTGTGACATGCTGGGGGGGCACCCTATGAACTTTGGCTGGCATGCCATGACCTTTAGGCAGCCCAGCATAGGTTTTGCTGAAGGAGCGCCAATTGTTTCAGCCCTGGGTGGATGAGAGCAGGTCATTGAAAGGTCCTGAGACCACGGTCGGGATCACAAAGGAGAGGACGACCACTTTGATGTTTACTCCCTCCAAGATTAGTTCCCATGTTTGGGTCGAAGCGAGGATGACCCATCTTCCAAGGACAATAATACCTTAGGATGTTCGCTTCCACTTATCGCTTTTCCTTTGACATTTGGTTCATTGATCGTCGTATCTCTTTCCTTTCCCTCTCTCTCCCATTTGACTTCGACTCGCTTTCCTGATTCACCTCTCTTTGACTTTCGTTTCCTTCAGTGTCTCATCTCTTGACTTTTGCTCGGACTCTCGCCTTTGACATATCTCTTGACTTTCCATTTCACTGCATCCTTTCATTTTGGCTTGGCTCCTTCATCCATGACTCTCTTTGACTTTTTATATCTTGGTTATCATATCTCTTTACTTTACCTTTGCCTCCTTCAACGCATCTCTTGACTTGACACGGACCTTCCCTTTTGCCTCTATCTTTGTATATGCTGACCTTCGCATTGACTCTTGGTGCTTTCATTTTCTTCACTTTCACTCTGCCCTTTTGCCTCAAAACTGTCCATTTTTTTTGCTTATTTCAACCATAGCTCGCTTAACTCTCTCGCTCGAGACTTTTCCTTCATACCTCCTAGATCGCACAGTCTTTCTCTGCATTTTTCTTTTTTTGCTATTTTTGGTCATATTTTTCCACACCCTAGGCTGCCACACCATTGCTTGAGCCAGCGCACCATGACATCTTCGTCGGTGTCCCATGATCTTTGGGTGGTGCGCCATGACCTTTGGATGGCACTCCATGGGTTCGACCAATGGTGCATCGATCAATGAAGGATATCCTGGTCAACATGTTTATCATATATGTATCTTTTCTCTCGTACGACTTGTTCTATATCTTCTTTGACAATATGAGGTATGTCTATCAGGACAAATACAACATTTCAATGGATGCGCTCAAGATATCTACAAGTTTACAAAGTCAGTGTTTTAACTCAATCACTCGGATGACGATCAAATCTAACCATTGATTGGATACTAGCCAGAAAACAGAAGAAAACCAACGGACATGCTAGTAAATCCAGTGTCGGAGTGAGTTACACGAGCGAGGATGACAACCAGCACATCAGCATGGACTGCCCATTCTGCATCCCTTATACTGTATTCCGAGGGAATGGTGGACAAACAATAGAAGTACTGTATTGTCACTGTGCACGCTTGGTCCACAGTGATAATACAGTAGTTCAATTGTTGCCAAAGTTCCATCGGAATACAGTATAAGGGCTGAAGAATGAGAAGTCCATGCTGCTGTGCAGGTTGTAGTACCACTGAGCACCGATTGTGTAGTGGTACTACAACCTGCACAGCAGCATGGACGTCCCATTCTTCATGCCAAAGTTCCCTCGGAATACAGTAAAAGGGCTGAAGAATGGGAAGTCCATGCTGCTATGCAGGTTGAGGAACCACTACAGCAAAAATATTTAAATCGGTGTGTCAGTATACTGTCCCGCTGTAATGATAATAACCATAAGTCATAGGCACAACGGGCCCATCCTCACCTTGAAAAATTTCAGAATGATTGGGCGACAGCGGAGTTGGTCAAACAATTTCTGCAGAACAAACGAAAGGCCAACAAGAAGCGAAAGGCACGCACAACTGCAGGCACTCAAAAAAATAAACGGGGTCGATTTCACGACTCAGACAACTCAGATGGAGATGAGGTAGGAGACAGAAGTGGATCTGGTGAGCGTGTGGGATAACAGATGATGATGACGAAGACTTTGGCACTTTCTGAGTGGATTTTGTGTGGAAGTGCACGCGCGTGCAAGGAGAGTGAACTGCAATGCACAGTTAGCTATAGCGGTGGTGAAAAGTAACATTTTCAATAGTTTGACAAACCACTTTAGATTCCAATGACATCGGTTTTTATCACTCATGGAAGTAGTAAATCAGACTGGCTATGCAGGTGAAAGTGAACATTTACTCTTGACTCCACCATGTATGTGAGACACGATAGTGAATACTTGCCCAAAACAAGGACTTAACATCAATGTGGACCTGAATGAAGTTTATTGTGTCCTCCATTATTGCAATTTGCAAATATAATGACAGTGGCTCAAAGAAGAAAAGAAAAAGTTACAAACACCTTGTACCGCATGAATCATGCTATAATTAGAAGCAACGTCTACACCGCCAACGTTCAAGTCATCAAATAATCAACAAACACATTGGTAACGACATGAAAGAGGGCAGTCCTGCGCCCCAAGGACCATGGACATGATTTCGACGACGAGATCTATCGTATCACTGGCATCTCACCCTCTGCGCTATATCGCACTCGACGACGTCAGCTCCTCACTGGAGATGTTGCAAATGCACCTGAACTTTTTCGTGGCTGCCCACGGAAACTCACTCATATTGACTGCCAGTATCTCATTCATCTTGCATGCCACAAACCCACCCTCTTCTTAGATGAGCACAATCAGCGTCTCATTGATTATCAACATCTTCCTGCTTCACTGTCAACTATTCACCGCACTCTTACACGTGCGGGACTAAACCTCAAGCATGTACAGAAACTCGCATCCGAAAGGAAACCGCTTGTCCGTGCAGGATTCATCCGTTGTATCAGCCAATAACCATCCCATTACTTTGTCACTCTTAATGAGTTTCAAAGGATAAAAGGACATATGCACGTACGTGGGGAAGGGCTTTTTGTGGTGAGCGAGTGGAGAAGCATAATATGATCCATTTGTTCCGAAGGAAAGGTTCTCAATGCTGGGTGCTATGGCATTAGATGAGGGGATTATAGCAACATGAGTAGTTGAAGGGACCTTCACACGTGAGCTGTTTCTAAGGTTTCTGCGTGATGATTTGGTGAGTCGGTGATTATGGACTAATGACGATGCAACCTAACGAGTCTAGCTTCCTTGCACAAACCCATATCCTGCACCACGAAATGTCATTTTCCTTGACGAAGCACGAATTTACCATTCCGAGGAAGTTGTTGACCTCATTGAAAGTTATGGTGCGTCCCATGGTTCCTTTGTACTTCCTTGCTGACTATTTCTAAGGATTTTGTGTCGAGTATCTCCCACCATACTCTCCCGACTTGAATCCTATTTAACAAGCATGGTCGGTTATCAAGAGCTACCTTCTTCGTGTTGGATTGTCTCGTGGGTCTAAGTCACAGCAATACTATCAGCTATACTGGGCATCCGCGGTGATCACTCCGGAGATGACTTGGGGATTTTTTCATCATTCAGGTTACATATGACAAGCAAAATCGAATGACGTGCATTGGACAGTGTAATAAACGACTTGTGGTCTAGAGATACTCCTTCAAACGTTACTCGGCATCCCGTATTGCAGCTAGTTCTCCGATTGACAAGGCACATTCTTACGCAATTAATCATTTGATATCAAGCGGATCAAATGTGGACCTGTAATTTGATGGCCATCGAGCTTATTGTAGACAGAGTGCGGAAGATCATGGTAGTTACAGAAAGCTTCAAGACTAAGACGATGGGGAAGTTGAGCTAGTTTAGGTAGCTGTTGAACGTACTGGATAGTGGTTGGGTCTGTATTCTGGCGCGCATTAAGAAGCTCTGCCAGGTCGGAAATTTTGACCGTAATATTTGATGATGATTTTGTGGCTTGAGTGAGTTAATTTCTTCGTCGTTTTGCAAGTGCGAGAACGTCATTGCTATCATCGGATGAGCCTGCGGTAGATGTTGTTCGGCATTGGAAGGGGTCAAACATTTTGCCGTTGGCAGGGTGATTAATGTCTATACCATCTTCGAGTTTTCTTGCTTCAAACTCTGTTAGTAATAGTGAGACGACATAATGCAATAAACAACTATTGCTGACGCCCAGAGACTTAAATGCTGGACTGTAAGATAAACATGGTCATTGAATAAAGTGCCGGCAGGCCGCAATACGTCGTATGGGCAAGCCTTGTCTTTGCAGTATCGGTCTTGGAGGTCCTTGATGATTCTATCCTGTTATTCCTCTTCATAGTTCGGTTCACGTGTTTGGGATTGCTGTGCTCATGTAACGGTGTTGGTAACCACCAAAATATAGTACATATACTTACCGTTTTTGCTTGCTTGCGTCCATTTGGTTGCCGTGTATGATTATCGTCTGACTCTGGTACATTTGTGCGCTTCTTTTGTGTGTGTGTTGGTAACCCCACTGTTTCATCATCTGATTCATCTGTGTCTCGTGCAGCATCTGGAATGATAATCTATGGTGACAGGCTCTGTGCTACCATTGTCAATCTGTGAATAATCAGTCTCATGCCTTGTTTGCAATGAGAACTGATGTCCCTTCAGCATTCTTCTTTGCCTGGACTTGCCCGACCATTTCTGTGAAGTAATCTTCACCCTCGAGCGCGATATCCTTTGTGCGAGTCTTCGGAACTGAGTAGGTGATTGTAGGGGAGTTGATATAAAGCACTTGTCCATTGGAGTACAGCCCAGAATGCTCCAAGAGATCACGTCATTTTAGGACCTGAAGGACTATGACAAGCATATCGCTGAGCAGATAGTCCTCATGAATATATATAACCTTATTGATGCTTTTATGTTTTGCGTTTTTGCGTCGCTTTGAGACATCCGAGCTCAATGAAATGAACTCGATGTTGAATCGCAGACCCTTGCCATCATTAGATGCACTTATGCCCCCTGCAGAGTTCACTGCATTTCAGTATTGCTATTGTTGCAGGTCATCAAAAAATAGGCTTACAGCCGTCATTTGTATCAGCCTCCGATGGTGCATCCTCGTCATCAGTCGTACCATCATCAAATGGTGGCATGGTAGGTATCAAGGTATGTATTATTAATGGGTACAGGGTCAGGGTATACACGACTCGTCACTCATTCCGTGACGCAAACTTTTTCTTTATGTTTGGTAACTGTCATTATATATGCAAACAGCTATATATATAATATGACTAGGAAAATATGCTCGTGCAAAAAGTTTGGGATTTTTGGCGGTTGTATGTGTGAGCAAGCTGAACGCCATGGCCTGCGGTTATGTGTTCTGGCAATGCCAAACGAGCTCAAGGATGAGGAGGCTTTCACACGTGTTCTTGGTTAGAAATGAGTCTTTTCTAGCTCGCATCATATGACTGTAACATGTAGAGAAACTGAGACTTGACATCTGTGTGAGCTTCATGTGCAATTAATGCTACACCTCAAGTGTCCACATCAGTGGCTATCATCAAACTGTTGGTATGAAGGAGATGTCTAGACTTGCAGTTGTTTTCTGGGTGTATGCTTGCAAATTTATTCTTCACCTGCGTACATCACATGATTTTAGATCAGTCTTTCTATATGCATAGGCTGAAAGGTTTTTAAATCGGATGTGTTTCATGATCCCTTTCGAATGCATGACAGAAATTAATATAAATCGTTCTGCCTCTGTGATTGCTTGCGGAATCTCGCTTTTTATCATCTTGTGGAGCGCTCAAATAGTGATGTCCAGAATATCTAGATATGTCCATAATCTCGTAGTTGGTCCAAAGTGTGGGTCACCCATTGATGGGTGGGTCAGATATTATTTCGATATATCCACGCGTTCTATCATGTGAAAATATATGGACGTCAGACCACCACTTCCCTGAAAAGATGGGATCATATATTTATTCAGCGCCCATATTGCACGAGAAATGTCTCTGTTGTTTATGGAGCAAGTCAGAATAATTTGGAGTGCTGCTGAAATATTCAGAAATAATGTTGCACCCATTTGTGTACGTGAATCAGAGGTTTCTGGCTGACCTTGTGATCGACCTTCGTACACATGCCTGCTAAAGTTTGTTTCATAGAGTTTGAGTCATACTTGTTGCTCTCCGCCGTTGCTGCGACAACGCGGCATTATGTAAGGTATGTTGCTGTTGCAGTCACCATAACGAGGAAGGCTAATGTCCACATTGCCACATTGAATGGAGTGAGTTGCAGACAAAAGATGCAATGAGCTATGACAGTACGTCTTTGATTCTGATTAATCACTCCCCTTATACTCAACCAGTAATCAGATTTTCGTCCTCCACTAGGAGATGAGCATACAAGGCGGGCTCAAGAGTGACGGATGCTGGACGAAAAGAATCTAGATGCATTTCTCAAGGAGCATAGTTCAGGATACTTTGAACCGGCGCGTCTGAGCTGTTTCGACCCTGTTCGAATGTCTGTCATCGATCTAATGCATATCTTTCTTCTAGATACATTTCTCAACAATCTCCTAGACTTGCTTATGAATGCTTCCAGGAATTATTTGTTGCCACTATTACGCACTCATGTGTCCAAACGGATGCATTGCTAAGGCGGATGGGAACGATACAAGGTTGATTGAAGCCTACCTTGAAACAGTAAGTATTTGTATATCGTGAACTCTACATTCATATCTAATTTACGTTCACAGTTTGAGATGCAAAGCTGGGGGGACGGTTACCTGGATAAATTGGCTATCTGGCTGGTGGATCACTGACATCAGATAAATGGAAGGGTCTTCCACTCATCAGCTGTTCTATCGTTGTGCGTAGCATCATTTCAATTTTATGAACGACTGAATCATGTGGCACTAAAACAGATACCATTGATGAGTGGTTTCGCATGTACGCAGCCACTTATGAGAAAGCTTTGACTTCATGGCAGATACGATAAAGGCAACCGCTCCTCCTTGTAGCTGCAGGTAGGAGTCAGAAGTAAGACAAGAACGTCAGCGACGGGCCACAGCCCCAAATGGATCCTGGTGGATCTGATAACTTTCTTAAGCTTACAGCTGCGTTGAAAATCATCCTTGGGTGTTTAATTCAGCTATTACATCGTGCCACCCAGATACTCGTCGAGTATCTCCTAGAATACCTTGATGTATATCCACCTCCACCCATGTCGGGACTCGCTGCTGATATAATGTTAGTTGTATCCCAATGACGTGAAGCCAGACCACCACTACGTGACCCATATTTCAGATCCAATTCGCGACTACACCCTGTCTACAACTTTTTAAATTTTTTATTCGAATGACTAAACAAGATATTGAAAATTAATTCGACAAATAATTATGGTGGGTGCGATATCGAGGTCAGTTTCATGCGTTCATTTCCCAAAGACGTTTCACTGCGAGATGTTTGTAGGTTCATATGGGATGATACACTCCGTACTCTCATCATGTCCAGCATTCTGCTCTCAGCATAAATTATTTAGATAAAGGCATATAATTTCAAGGATAACTCCTTTAGACGCTGTAACGTTGATTCTGACAACAAGCAGTGATACTCTGTGTACAGTTGCCTCGCTTGCGCATGAAATATATCAGGCAGCTGAGGACCGCAAGTGTTTCATTTTGTCTATGTGCGCTGTTGGATGACTTGTACAGTTGATGCTCGTTGCTCACTTGGTGTCTCGGCCATCATGTAACTACAATAAAACAGCGGCGACATCATCTCACATTGTATTATCAAGATCCATATCCTCATGCTAGAGGTCTCTCGCGGTCTGCATTCACAAATGCTCGTGATGCAAATTTCTTATCCAGTCGCGCCAAATGTTTCAATGATATATTCCTCGATGGTTGTCGAATTTCTCCTTCAAGTCTCTCTACAGTAGCAGCAAAATATATTGTGCAAGCTGAGATAGCAGGCCAGGTCTACCTTAGACAGGTCATATGCTCATATCAACCGTCCAATACTCACAAAGGCATGTATAACACGACGTTATGATACTGGAGGTTACACGAATTCAAACGACGGAGGGCTTTGAGACGAAGGAATGGGTCACGTATTTCATAATTCTCATTATTTCATGTCTACTTCTGATTAAAAGGTTTGAAAAGTCCAGAGCTTGAAGTTCGGTTAAACATGACAGATGTTTTGGGCAACGATTTTACTGAGTCGGGTAAGCATCTACTCATTACACATGGTTAGCAATGGGTTGAATACATGGAACCTTCAATGATTTTTCGATTATTTTACAATGACAGAGAAAATGCGAGTGAGTCAAGTTGAAGTAAAGAGAACATAATGCGAGTTAGACCATATAATTCAGGAATATTACCATGTCTAATTCATTCAGTTCCGCTACAAGTGTATAATTTAGGTTCACCATGGGTGGATGGGTCACGATGCTCATTATGGACATCACATTCGTCTTGAATTGGATCTCCTTAAGTTCAAAATTCAAGTTGTGAGATTAAAATTCGTCTTGAATCAGTAATTTCTCTCAGTATATATTAATCGGTCGAACTGACATCATCTGACCTCGTTGGAGAGGTCAAAACGCATGTTGTTTTCCTGACTTATTTCATCGCTATCTGTATCATTACCATCGTCATCCAAACATTTCTTGTAACAAGGATCAGTACACTATCAAGCGAACAAACATCGAAACATGATACTTGGATTTCCTGACGACTCGCTTCTTCTGCAGGAGACAAGTCTTGGAGAGGGCGTTTGAGTAGGTATGTGCGCTCCATGTCTCCGATGAATTTCTTTTTCTTCTTCATTGGCCGTGCAACAATTTGCTTTATGTGACCATAGTGATTGTTCGAAAGGTAAAGTATGTCTCTTAATCCTACGCCCTCTGATACACACTGCTGGCAAAACACTTCGGTATACCATACACGAATGTAAATACGTGTAAGACGGTATATTTTGTGTTAAAATACTCACGGGATTCACCAATACATGTGACATAGGAACCAAACGCGGGCTGTGAGAATCGGTGACAAATAGTTCACTTTGAGCTTTGATTTCTCATTCGTTGGCCTGATATTTAACCTTTGGTCGACGATCTACCTCCCGAGTTCAGTCATTTATTGCGATGTCTCATAATAACAAGAAACATCATGCTGAAGATCTCCCTACGTCATCGAGAGCGTTTAAACGCATTCGATCCCACCTAAAGATGGACACAACACCAGATATCGTACGTACATATTCCGTGCCTTGCTTCATCATACGTCTGATGTAAATGACATGCAGGACGACGACATTACGCGGCTACGATCCCCAAGCCCGAATTCATTGAGAAACCAGGATACTCGCTGGCTCGTGGAGATGTTGGAAGCTATGGATTATCAGGTCAAGTGCCTGAGAGACAATCGGTCGAAATACGAGGATGAGCGTAAACGTAATCATATCCAACATGAGCAGGAGGTGGAAAGGTACTGCGATCGTATTGATGCGTTGGAGGAAGAAGTGATGTATCAAAGGGTACTAGTAGAAATCACGAGCGGTGAAGTCGATCAGCTCAATGAGGCCATGGAGCAGCAGAAGAAGCATATTCGGGAGATCCTGGAGCGCGCGCATATGGAGATGCCATAGAAATACAAACGTCTTGTGTGGCTAACCTTTTATTAATACCAGTACTCAAATGTGCTGCGTTGCCTCTCTCATCTCTATCTATTATCACATTATTTTTGAGAATAACATGCGTAGCCCGATCGAAAGATGATACGCAATTTTTAGTTAATGGGGGCTTGATCTTGATTTGTAGGCATCGTATCTGAAACCTCGGCTTCATATGGGTGACGATCATCGACATCTTCAGTTGCTCGCCGATATTGCACGTAGCTGAACTATGCATTGGTCCATATGAACCTCGTTCACTCCATAGACTGCCGATGAACATCTGTCTGGGCCATCCTGAATGTTACATTCTTGGAGTACAACCTTAATGCCAACTGCGCCATGAAACAGCTGCCGGAGCATCTCAAATTCTTGAGTGAACAAGTCATACATCAAACGTTCAGCATGGAAATAATAACCTACGTTGTAGTGCTCGGCTCGTAGATATGTTAATCAACGTGTATTATTGGTATGAGAAGGTTTATTTCGGACTGGGATGCAGCTGCTACAGCTGGAGTGAGAACGGTGGCTTGGAAAGTGATTTCGCCGTTGACCGGTAAGGGTATATTTACTGGATAACAGTGTTAGCGTGTCAGATAACTGAGGAACTGCAGCACCGATGGGCTCGATCAGATCTGCCTTTCTCCCTCGCACATTCAAGACATGCTCACGGCACAGCGCCTGCAGCTGCTTCACAGTGATGATTTTGCTGCAGGAAAGGAACGTCAGTGTCACTGCACGCCCTTTGTCAGTGACGACGGGTCCGAGTCACGGAACTTGTATCACCATTGCCTCTAGCATGCGATTGTACAGCGCACACGTATTGAGTATTCCCTTGGACACAGTATTTTGTTAGTGTGTTTTACATAATGCAATATATTTAAAGAATATCCAAACTAACCTCGTTAATGGGAAGATTGAGGATTCAGTATTTGCATAAGTCCTCTTGGCTTTGAGTTAGCAAGCGCTTGTAAGGAAAGCAGGGCGCTAACCGCTTTGTACACGTTGGGTGGTCACACTTCCGGGTCGCGTGTGCTTTGGCGATGGTGCCCTGTAATTGTATATCGCAAGTAAGTCCGGGTCTATTACAGGATCGGAGACTGTAGTATTACCTGTGTCGACGGCCATTGGATGGGAGGCGATGAGGAGCCAAGAGGATGCGGTTCGTTGTATAATGTAAAGTGGGCAACCTGGTGAACGACGAGGAAGGCTGTGGATGGCGAGTGAACGTTTAAAGGCGGGATTCCCTTCCCAAAAAGGTCATTTCCGGTCTAGTCCTGGGAAAAAAGCTAGGTAACGTTTCGACCTTGATTTTGCTTGCCAATCACCTATATAAAAGCGTTATTACCCGCCAATACCTTCGCCTGCGGGTTTCAGATCCAGTTAATGAGACAAATAGTGGCAAGACCACAAATAAGACTCAGCCTCCATTTGAAACTCGATGACGGAGAATGATCATTACTGAGAAACATGTCCAGCTGAAGCACGCACCTAATTGACGATTGAGCTCGAATTCAGAAACCATGTGGTAAGTTCTGTCGCAGATGCTGCCACAGCTATACCTACTCGCTCTATTTGTTATTGCTGAGACCTCCTAGCAGCAATAGATGGATAGAAAGACCCACGACCTTACCACGCCATGGTAGCGAGGCTACGGAGAATGCCACATGATATTCCCCCTCGAGTCAATGAATAGCCTGTTATAATGGCAGGGACCCACTCTGAAAGAGATATATAGAGGAGTTTGTAGATTGTTCGGCAAATAACGTTTGAACGTTGGTTGAGGCTTTGAAAGCGTAACAATGTATGTACTGGTGGTGTGGAGGCCTTTAACTCCTCGCATAGACGCTTGGCCACACACATGTATATATGAATGACGTGTCAGCTTACAATGGAATGGAGAAGGAAATACCGTAAAGGTTGTCCATGAATTTGAGTTGTGAATGGCACATTACTCTCTAGCCCGGCACATCATTCAGAGGCGGGTATCGTAGATGGTGGTGTCGCTAGCGTGGAGTCTTGGCGTTCAAGGAGTTTAGAGTCATCGCGCATATCACTCTCTTGATACGATTCGGAAATGAGCATAGGAAAATTTGAGAAGGAGAGGATAAGCGTACTTTCAATGTGATATGCCACTGAATCATCCATGCCGATGGGAGGATGAAGTTGTCATTAAATGGTTAATTCATACCACGCCGTCCCGGTCTACGTTCGAGTGGCAAGAACACCGTATTATTCGTATAAACCACCTGCATCAACATCGCCACAGCACTACAATCCATACATGTTTATACAAAGGCCTTATCATTTTGTGAAAATCGTGCAGGGTGAATAAAAGACGGTACCTTTGTATCGGCGAGGAATATAGTATATAAGGGGCTCCATAGAGTGATAGAGGCTCTCGGCACTGTGTTGCCTGAGTCCAGCGTGATGCTGAGATACCCCTGGTCCAAATTCTTCAATCAATCAGTGAGGCGCTGGCAGGTGTACAAGACAGGAAGGTACTTGGGAACTTTATATATGATGCCACGTGATGGCCTTGCAAGTGCACCGCGATGAAAAACCGAATGCATCAAGGTCCAACGCCAAAGTATATAATAAATGTTACAAAATATGTGTAGCCCTTCCTACGATCAAAGATCTTACGTAGAACGTTTCGAGGTTTCGTTGATAATGAGGGGATCAAATTATTCGTTTTACAAGCAATCAGTGAGATCTGGCGAGCTGTAAAAGTACGTCACGACATATAGAACTTGATATGTGACACGACACGACGGCCTTGCACATGTCTCACGATGCAAAGCTGTAAATGATCAAAGTCAGAAAACGCATGTTTTAATATATCCTACAAAAGAAAAGAAACGTATCCTATCATCTAGGACTGCACGTGGAATAACAATTGACAACGTTTACGTACAGAACGACTAAACTTGTGGGCCCTTCGTCCTAGCCATCCCCGTGCGTACCCGTCTAGGTCTTCGCGTAATAGCGCACTGATTGAATTCTGGTACCTTGGCAATGTCAAGGTACTCTGCGTATGCATTCTTTATCGTGCTTGGTGATAAGCATCGGTGGCCTTCTAGAGCATTGTATTAACATAATCCACGATTCATATGTGAATAGAACGACTCACGGTTCTGAGGTAAAGGAGATTTTGTCAGGTCCTCTGCTAGCTCCCAAATCAACATATCACCCTGGCCAAGTTGACCCCACACCGGGAGTTCAGCAGGCAAGAGCACGATCCTATCATCGCAAATGCCGTGTTCTTCTAGGAACTCTTCAACATCAACATGCCTGTCCTGCACGCGAAAAGCAAGCAACTGAAGGCGTGGATTGGAAATAAGGCGTGTGACCGCCTCGGGATCAGCGATGTGCGGACTGAGCACAACACAGAGGTGAGTCAAGGATGCAATTGAGTCCAGTCTCTCCTGTGGCTCGGCCAGAAAGTGATTACCGTTCAGTTCGAGGTGGCTGAGATTTGTGAATGTATGACACGCGCCGAGGAAAGATTCGAACCGCATACGGATGGTGAGGACTAATGACCTCAGTGGGAGGACATCAAGTGTACACCAGAGAGACGATCCATTGGTCGCGAATCCATTAGTGGTAAGGACAAGACGGAGTGATGTGACACAGCTGCAGATGGATAGGATCGCTATGACAGTTGATGGCTCTATCGACCCAACTAAGAACAGGGCTTTGACATGTCGTTGAGCAAAGTCGGCGGGCAGTAGACGCCGGTAAAGGCATTCTAAAAATCGCCCTGCATCCTCTTGTCCGTGAAGAACGATTTTTTTATAAACCAATTGTTCCATGCTACCGTATTATTGTGTTAGCAGAAGGCAATCTGTGCAAGATTGCATGAAATGCTTACAAGGGATATATCTCCTGGGAAATAGTGAGATTATTAGCAGCGGCAGATCGTGTGCGTGTGGCAAGAGTCATGATACTCTGCTTAATCTCTAACGGAAGGGAAGAGGGCATGATGGATGCAGTTAAAACACCACGCCACCTCGTTGTGAGTGAAACAATACAATAGATTACATAATAGGCGGAATCTCAAATGTTGAACGTGCCGCCACATCGGACATTGCCGCTGCGGAACACTATGGTAGGCATTGAGCGATAAGCTTGCAAAGCGTTTCACTATGAGATTTTAAATGGAAGTTCCTTAGCTTTGCTTTTTTATACCTCTATTTGCCATGCCGTTCATCGGAAGCCCATATATACTGAAGATGGAGAATAGACTGAGGGTTGAAAATGATCATGTAGGTCGAAAATTACTGTAAACCAAGTCTGATTGTAGGTGCGATATGTCCACGTTGGGGGTTACATCCGCATCAATGTCAATGTCGAGAGCGGCACCTCAATAATTTTGGATGAGCTTCAGCGATGTGTAAAAGAATTTCAACCAATTGTCACAGGTATATATCCTGCCAAATATATTCGCTGATCTATGATGGCAACATGGGCATATGCATCTTCAGCAATACTTAAAAGTTAGACATCTCTGAGTTTGTGTTGTCCGAATAGCGGCAGCTGCATGGATCAATTCAAATTCGGTCACCACTCTTTCAAATCCAATGTACAGGAAACACTTGATTTCGCAGTGGTCATTGCCATACGTTTTCTTTATGCACACCGCATGAGCGATACTAGTCATGAATGGCATCCGGCGTATGCAGCTTATACATGCAAATTGCTTTGCACCTCATGTATACTATTTGCAAATGGATCAAGCAACCCACAATGAGTGATAAGCAGCGTGATGACAACATATATTCACATATAATATAACATACATAAACATACATTGCAGGATACTGGGAATGAGTAGCGAGTGTCCTGGAAACAACCAGATAAAAGAAGGTGGATAGGTAACCAGCTTCGAAGGTGAAAGCCTGTCGAGGCAAGAGACCATCCATAGTTATCGTAAGGTACAGGACATGATAGCGTAATCAACGAGCCGTGGTTCGCAGCGGTCAGACACAAGACGGAGAGGTAAATACCATCGACGGTGATGGCTCGTCAACGTAAGAAACCCCCATCTGTAGTTCCCACAAGGCACAGGACATTGAATGTGATAACAGTCATTCATTGAGGCCTCCGTCATGGATGGAGAATAACCGTAGAGGTGATCACTCACCAATCGTTAGAATGCAATAAAACCACAAATCACCGAAATACAACGGAGAACGGAAGTAGGAGGAGATAACAAGAGCACGACGGGCCAAGGTAGCCACCATCATCGATGGAGTACGCCCATAGAGGCGATAAACCACCAACCGCCAAAACCAAGGGGAAAGAGGCAAGAGAAGATAATAAAAGGAGGAACGGATAAAGGTAGCCACCATCATCGATGATGAACGCCCATAGAGGCGAGAAACTACCGCCCGTCGAAGTCAAAGGGACAAGAGAGGTAGGAAAAGATACCCATGAGGACGACAGATGAAGGTAGCCACCATCATCGATGATGAACGCCCATAGAGGCGAGAAACTACCGCCCGTCGAAGTCAAAGGGACAAGAGAGGTAGGAAAAGATACCCATGAGGACGACAGATGAAGGTAGCCACCATCATCGATGATGAACGCCCATAGAGGCGAGGAACCACCAAGCATCAAGTCCAAGGCATAAGAGGAAGGGCACGAAAAAGAAAGAGGTGGCCACCGTCATCGACGATGAACGCCCATAGAGGCGAGAAAACCACCAATGGAGGTAATGGTAAGAAACAAAGAGGAAAATTTGCGAAGGGCAAATATATAAACTTCACATCACGTGATGTTCCCACGCCACAGGAAAATATAATCGGATGTCGATTCACTCCTATCGCGGAAATTACTTGACATGTATTTCTAAAGGCTTCATGCGTGACATGTCTGTATTCATCGTTTACTCGAAATACCACTACAACGTCTCTACTATCGGGGTTACGATACGGTGCTTTGGTGTCGCGACAAATTCCCTCGTGATCAAATTTAAGGACTCAAGAACTGGAAGTCCATGATGCTCTGTTGGTTGTAGCGCCAAGATAAGTTCGAAATGAAATCGCTGGTCAGTCTTACAGGTTCAAAGTCTATACCGAGTCAACAAGCTTATTCACGAGCTTACGGGTATCTCCTCCATCGTAGACCACCGCTGTATCAACTCTTGTGTAGCGTTTGTCGGCCCTTGCGCAGGTCTAGACACATGTCCCACGTGTGTGGCGAACTGCGTTATGACCAAAAAAAGCTGGCAGGCAGTCATGGACGCAAGAACGTCCCTCCGGCCGTTTTTCAAACAATTCCGATTGGTCCCCAGCTTCAAGCGTTGTGGCTTGAACGAGGTAGTGCAGGGACCGATGTATTGGACGATGTTGCAAATGAGATGACGAGGCATCACCCAGTTCTAGCACTTTGCAGCAATGGATGGAAGGTCCAGGCTATCGCTACTGAACGTTATCCCTCGTGGGAGTCAACACACATCAAGAAGAGGAAGAAGTCTTCATATGTCAATTCAGTGGTACTATTTCAGCCTTTTCATTGGTTTGATTTACTAACTCGGTCGGTATTGTACTATCATTGTAGTCCTCTGGTACCAAGCGAAAAATTACGAAATTCAGTAATGCACCATCTGATTCGGAGCCACCTGCTGACCTGAGATCTCCAACCCCCTCCAAGGATTCCGATCACTGAGCGAAAAGGCCAAAGGTCGACGAAGCAGACTCGATCACACCATTGGCAGCACCTGCTCCAAATGTCAGCAGGACCATGGCCACCACCCTACCGACAGGTCCGATAGCTTCAGGCCATTCTCTATTCGAGTTTGGGTCCGAACGTATGCCAGACTCCATGACACCGCTGGCAACACCTGATCCAACTGTTAGCCGTCTTCCACAAATACGGAATTGGCTGTGAGTCCTTGTAGATTGTTGTGCCCGGTATATTGTTGAATCTATTCTATATAGTGCAAAACTCGTGTTATCCAAGAACCCCGATCCCTCGTCTTCAGTTCTTGCACCTTACACACATATGGACCCAGATCCGACTACGACCAAGTTATCGATGGCTACCATACCCAAGGATGCCATCTTACCAACAAAGGGGTCCGTCGCTGGTACAACGGACAACAGTTCTGACACGATAACAACTAAGATATTTCGGCCACCTGCAACAGAAACCTGAATGTACAGTGTCCAATTGTATCCTTGATATGCTCACTGATTGTTTCCTGCGACCATATAGAAACCTCTGCGCACATCGCTGGCTTAATATCATTGCCCCGAATGGCACATCTGGTGACTTTAAACTATACTTGAACGCACTGTCGAAAGACAGTCAACTGGTATGTTTCGTTTTATATGTTCCATGGTACATTACTGGCCGACACGACTGCCACAGAACTACGAACTAGAGGCTGCGGCGCTTGTTAGTAATGGTAATGTAACTCCATGGAACGCATGCACTAATGATTAATTTAGGTCAAAGACTGGACGTGGACTGGGAATACCGTCAGTACAATTAACAACTTCGTTGGAGGAACAATAAACTAGAGCATTAGGTGTACAAGCAGGGCATGGGTTGGATTGGCGTGGGCGGTGCATCGTCGTCATTGCTTTTGTAACGTTGTGGCCTCGAGAATACAATCGAGTTCGCTATATGTGCGTCGATGTGCATATCATTGGGACCGGGAATATACTTGAATCTACGGTACACTAACACAATCGATGATACAATATTTCGCTCGATTCGAGTCACTAAAAATCGACTATAAGCCTCATTTTTCTCCGGCAATCGACGTGAATATTGTCACAATATTTCCGTCGTTTTCCGGAGATATGGCTAGGACAGTTTCTCACTGGTCTTTAGCCCTTACACTGTATTATGACAGATTAGTCCTGAAATAATGGGAGTACTTTATTCTAAATTTGCACGTTTGGTATATAGACATTGACCAGCCGTTGTGGGTCCACCTTGGAATGGTGTATAAAACAGCTCAACAGCATTGACTTCCCATTCTTCAACCCTTACACTGTATTGCGACGGAATAGTTGCCACACAATAGAAGTATGTTATTGCGACTGTGGACAGCGCGTGCACGGCAATACAGTACCTCTATTGTTAGTCCATTATTCCGTCGTAATACAATGTAAGGGCTGAAGAATTGGACGTCCATGCTTCTGTGCTCGTTGTAGTTGTACTATACCCAGCACGGCAGCAGCATGGATGTCCCCTTCTTCGACCCTTAAACTGTATTCGGACGGAATATTAGTGACGTAATAGAAGTATGGTATTGTACATTTTCACGCTTTGTATATATAAATTGACCGGGCATCGTGAAATGGTGTATAACACAGTGCAACAGCATGGAATTCCAGTTTCTCAATCCTGAATATGTATTATGAGGGAGTACTGCCGTATAAATACAGGTAGTCGATCAGAAACAAAATGATATGACTTGTGAGTTCAACGTGCAGTATGTGAAGGAGATGCATGATATCTAAACTATCATACTATTACAACGGATGGGTGATGCAACGACTATAGGTCCAGATTGTCTTTGAATAATCGAAGTAGCTCCACACGATCAACTGCAATACCAGGATGAAGCTGATCACCTATGTAAAGAATATCTCCAGCACGCTTGCGCTTTGTGATTCCGAGGTATTGATAAACAATCTGAACTATATCAAAGCATGGAGCTGCGGTTTCCGTATCCTCCACAGATGTTGCATTGCTTCCAGCGGCACGATATTGCCTGCCTTGGCAAGCCATCATGCAAAGAGATAACAAAGACCTTCGCGGAAGCACTGATCCGAGCGTTAGAAAGGAGAAATGTATAACGATACGCTTTACTCACCTAATCTCAGTGACAGATACGGAAGCATAATAACCATACGTCGCAATGTCTCTAACGCGTGATCCATAGCTTGGTTTGTCGCAGATCCCCCAACTTCAGCATCGATATATCTTGAGACTTCCGTAAGGTGCATGCACGAATAATGGTAAAAGTGGCCGCCAGTGGAAAATGATGGTACTGGCGTGTACACAGCATGTACCACGCCAGGAGGAAGTATTCTTGTTCGTATACATAAGCAATAAAATACAAAAATTATGAAATACTTACAACAGATCCCCTGGAACAAGCGTTAGCACTTCACCATCGCAATTTTTGTGAATCCATGTCTTATGCCTAGCATAATCTGCAAGTCTGACTGAAAGATCCTGTAGGGCAATGCGATTTTTCTCTCCAGATTTCAACGAGAAAATCACCCAGAACTTTATTCCGGCCTCCATCCTCACCCAGGTCAATGTTCCCTCGGCGTCGTGATGAGGATAAGTAAGGAATCCGGCATGATGTAGCAAAGCCCATCCCTTTGTGGTGAAGTTGTCTGGATGGACGTAGGAACGGATTGGAACACAGGTGGTAGTCTGATTCCAGCCGTGCACAAGTCCGTGATCCAAATTCCTGTGAAATTGGGTCACGAAATTGTAATTAAAATAGGATACGGATCTGAATACCTTAGAGCCTCGGGCATACTGATGTGAGCAAGGGAGATATCTAGGATGCATTGAATCTTCGTGTTATCCCACATAGACGTCATGAATGAATGTATATTTCCATGTATAGTGGGATTGACATGGTCATCACATCGTGTCTGTGCATCTATAGTATTAATCTTAATCAATACATTTTACGCGTTTTAAGATGTTGAAAAGACGTACCATGAATGCACACTGGACGCAATGGTGAGATTCCAAATTCGACGTCCAGGTATTCATCCGTAAGCATCCCTCGTGAAGATTTATGTGGGACACCGGTGATTACTACGCACTTATTCATGGAAAGGCTGTCCGCGATGGCGTTGAGGATATTTGGAGCGGAGAGGTCCTCGTTTCTCATATGGGATACGCGGATGGAACAGGCATTCGACGTAGGACATTGCGCCATGAATTTGATTAAGGGAATGTCGACTTCGTCGCACAGATTGATATTTGAATCATTGTAAATTGCCGGAAGAACCGTGATATGGCCATCTGTCCATTTGATAGTTGGGCTTCTTTCCGGAACTTGGGTTCCAAGTACGTCGATTGTTAGATCAAGACGTTCAGAGTTCGACATTATGAAGGTTCAGATAAAGAGTCAACTTTAAGAGAGAAGATAATATATTACATGAGAGCGCCTTACATGGAGATTTAGGGCAGGTGTTATCGTACGTCGTCATTACCTTATGCGTTACTTGGATACGAGGCCCACGCATGCCCAATTGAATTGAAGTGAAATATTGAAGAATCGTATCGTCACGCATGATTGACTAACGTCAGAACTATAATATAATACTATACAAGATCAATTGGTTGCGCGGAGCGCATTCATTGGAGGCCATTGTGTACAACATTTTTACATCAATAAACGATGTATCTAAATGGAACAGACAAAAATTCTATTTGTCAAATGACAAACCAGCTAATAGTTCAAGAACGCGACCACTGTACTACTGATCATTTCAGGTGCGGCGGCGGGTCATTCTCTCCAACCAACTCTATCTGAATCATTAATCATTTCCTTCTATGACGTGACGTAGGTCCACTTACTTGGGAGTTATGATAGGAATTTGTGCGGGGAGGGGTGACATCGTCCTCTGTGCATGTACTTCCTACAGAAGTTGAAGGTTCCACAGGAAGAGCGTGAATCGATGGCGATGAATCTTCAGGTTCTGTCATGATAGTTGAATTCTGTGGGAGTGGCGCGGTTGTATCCATGTTATAATCAATGGGAGACGGTTGCGTTCCGGGTACTAAGATCACAGGACTTGCGGATCCAGCTCGATCAACATATGTCGATTTTGCGCGGTCATTCTGGTCTTCCTTGCCATGTTCAATGTGATTGTCGTCAGGAACATTCCACAAAGGCTGAGTTGCATCTATAACTAAGATAAATAATCGATATATCCATCACCAGCGTGTAAAGTCAAACCTCTATGTGCCGTCTCATTATCGTTAGTATTTGCTTGAATTGGATCATCCCATGCCTCCATGATATCGGATACGTTGTCGGGCTGACTGCTGACGCTGGACATGTGAGAAGACAACGGAAGCGTTGGCGAGTTGATAAAACCAGATTGGTCTATATCAGAGGAATATTGGATAATAGAACTCGATGTAACGTTGGTCTGGGAACCGTTCTTGCACCGCTTTGGAGTCCCTCTGCCGCCATCCTTCTAATACAGGTTAATATCAACTAAGACAACGACGGAAATATTTGTTCACCTTTGGGGGGGACGCCTGCGATAACGTCCTCTTCCTCTTTTCCAACCTAGATATACCAGCGTCAGTTCCATGATGAATTGGGAGGTCATCGTCTTCAATAATCATTGAATCCAACGCCAGTGTGACATCGCGCCCATCCATGTCAACTGATCCTTCTGCATCATCGTCAGTTACATTCGTAAAGGCCAACCAGGGATCTGCCGTGATATCGGTGTTGATCCCTAACCAGGGAAGCTCCATATCAGTCATCATCCTGTTTCATTAATGAGCTGACGACTTGTCCAATGTAACACACGTACTCTCGTTGAACTGCTGGTGGAGAGCGACTAGGCCAGATACGTGGATTACTAGTGCCAACATCAGACTCCGTCAGGCGTTTTCCGAGTGCATGGAATAAATGACACAAGTAACGAGGCCTTGCCTCCATGTGTACAATTGCAGAATACAGCCGTTCCATACCAACTGCCTCGAAGTAACGATCATCATCAAACTCCAAAAGGCGTGGATTCTCGGAAATTAGCAGTCCATCGAGCTCAGAATCCATATCACGGTTTGTGAGGTCGCGGAATCGTACTAGCATCCAGGTAGCGAGTTTTAAAAACACTTGAGAGTTTCCCTTTTCAAATGCGAGCCTCGTCAAGGCTTCCCATTTGTCTTGATTCGGTGGAAGAAGACCCTTTTCATACCCTTCAGCGTCGAGATCCGATATATCCATTCGAGAAGTCACATCATTCTGTCACTCGTCAGGTATCTATTAATATATCGGTGGTGAATCACTTACGTCTGTCAGCGAAAATACAGGATGTGGCATATGTGGGCTCTCCTCTTGTTCCGATTCAACCTCCAACAAAGGTGATTCAGGAGCCTTCTGCTTGCCATACGACTTTTTCCCTTTCCCCTTCCAGACATTCTTGCGTTCCTTGGATGGATTCCTCAACTCCTCATTGTTTTCAAAGCGAGTTGCGATTGTATCAGTGATGCTCTGTAAGACTTAATCAGATATTCTACAAGGTAGGCCATTGAAGCGCACCTCATCGTTATAAACATCGACATCAGCAACGGCGATGTCGATCTTTGAGGACCCACCATCCTAGACATTGTCATACATTGAGGGAAATAGATTCGAGTTCATCACTCACGTGAGCAGTCAGACGCAGAGGATCGGAAATTGGGAGGTTCAAATCCACATCAGATTCCGCCTCTAGCATGGGTGATTCAATGACGTTCTTCTTTCCTTGCGAGGCTTTTGCTTTACCCTTACGGGAGTTTCGTCGTCCCTTGGGCGATTTCTTTGAATCAGATTTTTTCTCAAATCGACTTGCGATTTGATCAGTGATGCTCTACGCGAATTAATCAGCCACTATTCATGCTAAAGCATGCTTTCGTACCTCATCGTCGGTATGTATGACGTCCTTCTTTGAATGACCACTCCCGTCGATGTCTTCATGGTCCTTCATACGTGCAGCTTTCTTGACGTATATGGACGCGGATATGGCTGTCCTCGTCCCTGAAACATTGAGGTCGGCAGGATCGACATCCACTTCCATATCTGGTTGCGATGGATTGGCTGGTGTACCCGGTGTGATACCTGCGCTTTTGGGTCGTTCTGAGGTCTGATCCTCCGGGGCAGGTGCATCGACATCATCTCTGTCGTGGTCCGGAACTTCCGACGTGATGCCATCGATTATAGCAGTTATCATGTCATCTTCTGAACGCTGATGTTCAAACAACCCTCCACACATGTTGTCGCCTTCAACACAAAATGTATCGTGCATTCTCTTACCGTGCACTACATTTCATATTTAGTTCATCGATATATGAAATTGAAATTGACAGAAATAAGCCACTGACGTTCCTGAACCTTTTTGAACACCTTTTTCTCCCTGAATTGGTTCCAACTTCGCTTGATATCCTGCATTGCGACAATTTGTTGATCCAGTGTGAATGAGTTTCCGTGCAACGCAAGGGCCATGTGGTAGTCGAGGTATGCTGAACGCCATTTTGAATTTGAGCTGGATGAATCGGCCTTCGCCTCACGCAGAAATGCAGTGATAAGAACCGCGAAATATGAAATTAGAGACATGTAGAATACAAATGTTTCCTCGACTCGGTCCGACTTTGCAACTTTGGTCAGGGCTTTGGCGGTACGCTGATATAGATGAAGTTGATGAACTACAAGTCGGATTTGATCAAGGCATTTCGGTGAGACCTTTATCTGAAAGGTAGCATCTTTCATACTACGTCCAAGAGTCTGATTGAGCGTATGACACTTACCTTATCATCTGTACCGCCTATTTTCAAGATGTGTGTATTGTGCTCCACCTCCAAGGATACAGCGTGAGAGAGAAGTACTTCATTCATCGGATCACTGAGAGGTTTGATTTCCAAGGCAATAGGAACATTGGACGTCATTTCTGAATGGTAATAGACTTATTGTGCAAGGATTCCTGCGTTCTGATTGTTGTTTGATCGATATGGTGGTGAGTAGCTAAGTGGCGCAACTACTCGCATTACCAAATATGGTAACAGTTTCCGACTGTTTACGATAAACAACCAATGCATGTAGCGTGCGAAATCGATAAATTACGCTTTTCGCCACTACCAACAATTTCTGAAGCGTTATGTTGAAACCCTCTCATTTCCCTCGCCCCGTGAAGACAACCACTGCACCGAATCCTGCACCAACACAGGAGGCACCACGCCCGGTAGTGTCGAATCGTTCCCGCAGGACAAATGTGCAACCATTGCCTGTAGGAAGCACGCGTCCAAAGTTGGCCAGGGCTGCGAAGGTGAAATCAGATTCAAATGCTCTAATTGCGCCCTATGTGCCACTCACACCAATTATGGACGATAAATCACATGAAATGGACGTTGACGAAGTTGGGAAGTTGAGGTCACGGAAGCAGCACGTGGTCGATAAAATATTGGACGCGAAAATCGTAAGTTCCTACATTTATAATACGTAAAAACCCTGTCACATATTTGTTTAGTGTTGCATTTATTGTCATGACTTCGGGTCATATATCTGGACTTGTAATGCTGAAGGTTGCGGAATACCCGTGTGCGTTAGCCTGCATCCATGGGATCACGGATGCGTAGATGCATCTCCCGATGCGACCACTGGAGAAATGATTGTCACACAAAACAATTTTCTATGCCCTCGATGCCACCGTGACAAGTGCATTGCTATGATGGTGAATATATATCTTACATGTAAGTGCCGAACTTGTAATGATTTCTTTACACAGTACAAGGTCCAAGGATACTCTGTTCGAAGAGATTTCCTGTACCGTAACTATTTCCCCCTGCTCGGAATATTCTTGTCTTGGAGTGGATTCAGAAGCACGTATGCTACGAATCTGATCACATTGACGCTCGAGGAGCACTACCGTCGTGATCAAAGCCGAGTGCGTATTCTCCATGTCAATCCCTGCATTAATCGGTAACTCGGATGATTTATTGACAGCTACGCATAGTAACGCGTGCCCTAAGAGCTGGTAATAATCGCCCAGATGCAATCACTCCTCATTTCGATTGGTTACGACAAGTTCATTATGAGGGTAACGTCTTGATATGTGTCAACACTCATTCGGATACGGAAACTGGTAATCTTGTTGTTTCTGGTGGCGCGGACAATCCAACATCACTTCCGATTCATGAAGTGAGATCACAAAAAACATTCAAAATATTACGGACGATTTGGCTGACAATTGATATAGCTGCTATCGAACTACATTGGCGACGAGAACTTGATGGATGCGACACAGGCGATCGCTTCTATCAACAACAATTCAGATGTTGGGCCCTGTATACGAGGCCTTGTCATATGTGCCTGTGGATCCACAGGCAGGATTGATGAAAGCGTAAATTTGTTGACGAACATGGTGAAGTGGTGAGTTACGTTTTAGCGTGTATTAAAACTGGAGACTCTTACACGCAAGACACAAGTGACCTGTTTGACTTTGTGTTGACATTCGCGGGCGTATCAACTATGGATTCTGTCGTCGTGCCTGCGTTAAATCGCTTCGTCGAGAATGTATATGTCTACGACATGAAGATATGGGACGCACTCGAAGAATCATTTGGCGAGGACCGACATGCCCTCAACCATTCACCCGTGTTTCTCTCATATTCAGAAATGGAGACTGACAAAGATAACGTGCGACGACGCGTGGTTGAAACAAGAGTGTTGGCATATTCAAATCTCAGTGATGGGCGACCTTGGGGCCTCGATATCTACCGGTGCTTGAATGCGAAATGCCGGGCGCCTGCATACAACATGTGTTTTCATCCACATGGAAAGCGGTTTTATGGGAAGCGTTGGCTGGAAACAAAGATTAGGTATATTTGTTTTGAATGCCAGACGACGCACAAAGGCATACCATGTCCGACCTGGATACATCCAGCTCGGTCTCAGAACTTTGGACGGGTATGGTACAACTGGCCACTCAGCAAAGAGCAGAAAGGGGAAATTGGCATATTTGAATGATTTCGCTGATTATTTGTGTCATGATCCTTGCCGTTCACAGTTTGTATAATGTTGTTCAATCCGCGTTCAATTTACTCACCTGTCACTTAGTCAGTCGTATACCTCTCGCACGTAGTTGTTAACCTTCAAATTGGGCTGCCACCTGATATTCGCCGCAACGTCATTACCATTACATGTGGTCACAGAGAAATTAAGACATTATATCAAAATGAAATGTGGCATACTACCGTTCGAAGCAAGATGTATTTCAATCAACAAATATAATTATCCGATGACATTCTTCTGGAATATGCAGGGTCTTTGTTACATCATATAACCCAGACTATGGCAATGCACGTGATCAGCAGTCCCGAACATATTTCACATCAGACAATCATCGAAACTCGTTTGTGATGAATTATTATCAACTGCCGCTACAGAGTTATCCATTCACATATTCTGTACCTCATCATATGAGAAAGAATTTTGTAGAAAGAATTACCTGTAAAAGTGCGGTGAAAAAGCCATCTTTGAAATGCATAGAAATATCTAAACCTACGTCTTATGAATACCGATGGGCGTGAGAACGTCACGTGATGTGAAGTTCATATATTTGCCCTTCGCAAATTTTCCTCTTTCTTTCTTACCATTACCTCCATTGGTGGTTTTCTCGCCTCTATGGGCGTTCATCGTCGATGACGGTGGCCACATACCCTTCCTCTTTTGCCTCGGATTTGATGTTTGGTGGTTTCTCGCCTCTATGGGCGTTCATCATCGATGATGGTGGCTACCTTTATCCGTCGTCCTATGGGTAACTTCTGTATCTTCTCCTACCTCACTTTTTCCTTCGACTTCGATGGTTGGTGGTTTCTCGCCTCTATGGGCGTACACTATCGATGATGGTGGCTACCTTGATCCGTCGTCGTTTTATTATCTTCTCTTAACTCTTTTCCCCTTGTTTATGTGATGGTTGGTGGTTTCTCGCCTCTATGGGCGTACACTATCGATGATGGTGGCTACCTTGATCCGTCGTCCTATGGGTCTATTTTGTATCTTCTCCTACCTACCTGTTCCCTTGGGCTTAGATGTTTGGTGGTTTCTCGCCTCTATGGGCGTACATCATCGATGATGGTGGCTACATGTATTCTTCGTCCTATGGATATCTTTTCAATCTTCTCCTACCTCAATTTTCCTTCAAATGTCAATGGTCGGTAGTTTCTCGCCTCTATGGGCGTACATCATTGATAATGGTGGCTACCTCTATCCGTCGTCTTACACTCATCTTGCCCAATTTCCCTTGGACATTGGTGCGCGGTTGCTCGCCCCGTCGTGTTCTTGCCCCTTTAAATTTGATTATTAGTGATTGATCGCCTCTATGGCCAAGAACTGTCGACAATACAGGCCTCTTTGATTTATGGCATCGTTTCCCTCACTGTTTCCATGTCCTACGTGTTGGAAGTACTACGCCTGGCGGTTTCCTATCTTGCGTCAGTTGTCTGATTGCTGCTGGCACCCCGTTGTGTCTTCTGAAAGTCATTTATTTCCCGAAATGTATATATATTTAAATATATTGGCGTTATTATATGGCACATCACTATGATAGTGACGAAGTGAGAAGTCCAAATGGCTAGTCTTGCATAACACTTCAATGCGTAAGATAATTGCTCGTATGGATGAAATATACCCATTGAGATATAGTCTACAGGTTCCATTTGTTACATATGTGTTATACCTACGATATCACTTTGTGCGAATGTCATTGTTGCCTAGCATAGAGCTTGTCCGCTCCTGCATGACTGATGCTAGAACCTTAAATCCTGGAGCATACGGATCACTGTCATTAGGCTTACACACACGTAGAAGATATCGAAGGACCTCATTCAAACATTTCACATTTTCTTGAGTCTAAAAGGGAGAATATGATCGTTAGTTGAAAGATATAATACACAATTAAAGTACGGAATTCACCCAAAGACTGTGTAATGTAGACCGCACTGATTCCTCGTCCAACATCGAACGAGAGGAAAGTTCAACAAGAACACAATGCGCCTGTTCTGATCGAATATATCATATCATAATATATGGGAAATTTGCTTCGTACCAATGGGGGAAGCGTGTGATCTCCATTCCGATTCAAAATGGTCTTCTGGCATTCGATTGAGATATCCTTGATCCACATGTCTATTGACATGAGTGACGCAGCCATCGAATTCATAGAACTTGACATGCAGTCACTGCGCAGGAGTGATGCCACATGTCGAACTATGACTAACCATGAATCATGATTGGATTCCATAGTCGAACGAACGAAATTGATTCCTTTAGGATCCACGAGAAAGCATGATATCTGTGAAGTTACTGAGTTAACTACAAAATTAAAAATATTGAAAACGTACAGAAGGTGTGACAGATTCGACACCTGGCTGACACTCGTGAAGGAGATCTTGGATTGTGTAGACTTGAGACCTTGATGGTCGACACGCAATGTCCGCCTTTTCATTTATAAGGCGACCTTGCGTAGCAAATACTACTGGTCGAGCTGGCCGTGATGCGCCACGTCTCTGTGAGGCTGCTACAGGAGTATTTGCCTTCAGGGCTTGGTTATTTTGTCGTAATCGTGACTTCAAAGGTGGAGATATAGGCAAATCAGGTATCTGTGACAGCGCATCACGACCTTGAGAGGAATGGTGCTCATTAGATGAATTGATGTCGCACATAAAAGATGAATGGTAAGAAGGGCTGGACGTATAATTGACCTCTGGATCCACAGTAATTGATGCTTCCAGAAGAATAGATGTACTATGGGAGATGTCGCCGACCTCATCACTGTGAGTGGTTGATGAAAGTATATATTTATCGTCATCCTGCAAGTATTAACTGATGTTAAGGAATATACAAAGATAGAGACACGTACTGTATTTATTTCATCGACGTATTCCTGAGAGTGTGGTGGTCTTTCACCACCGCATTCAAAACGATGATTTAACAGCAGATAGCTCGAGTCGTCCATGACTAGGTCTTCTTGGACTTCAATATCCGTCTGTACTCCGTGATCCAACAGCGAGCGGATGCTAGGTAATGATAATGTACATTCAATGATGGGCTCGCATTGCACTCCAACAGTAACCACTATTGGAGGCAAACTGTCCATATGAACGTTCTGTGAGTCTCCACAATCTTCAATGTGAGCCTTCCCGTTAATGCGCGATATTTCCAATGTCTCGATTGGATTGATAGGACCAAGGTCGTTGCCATATTCCACCACACATTCCTTCCCAGAGTGTGATTTATAGAGGGCGCGTCCAGCAGTGATAAAGAATTGTGCCATTGCAGCACGGTCCACCAATAACTCCTTGCATGTTGCCATCATCTCTACCATGCCAAATATCTCCAGGTACTCATCCACATTCCGTGCTGTCACTAGTAATCCGGAATCCACTAGCTTATCCAATGGATCGTCATGATCCAGTCCTTGTATTTCGCGAAATCGCATTGCCACATGGCTGGGTAGCCATTTTCCAAAGCCCCCTATGAGGACCTCACGCGCATTACTGCCAAGAGTTCTCAGAGAAATATTGCGACAGTTGCGATCGAAGGGCAGTGGAAACATAGGAAATTGACTAGGAGTCTAGAGATCTTATATCACATACATCTGGGATATCAAAAGGGCCACATACCACATCTAAATCCTGAGATAACACCATCATCTCAGCGGATGAATTGCCTGAATTAGATAGTTGGACTGATTTAATAGTACTGATTGGTTCCACGGCCGCATTAACAAGGGCATCAACCTGATTCATTAGACACTTGATATCCTCTCCTTGGCCTGATGTCTGTAGAGCTCCGCACAAATCATGCTCCTTGCATTTATCTTGGTGATATACAGTCCAATCAACTAGTTCTAAATCTCAGAACAAGAAAAATACAACATGACCGAGAACTTACGAAATACCAGTATGTCTGGACAGTCTCCATTCTTCAGGCCTTCAAAGCTAACTCCATGAGACGTAAGCAAGGTGGTCCGGCACTCCTCGTGAAAGCCATATGTAGTGTGGTCCAACCAAAGGTAATAGTCCAATGCAGCAGATCTGAATGTTCCGTTAAGTGGATCCGAAGATCCACCAGAATCCTCCATAAATGCGATTCGTACATCATGCAAATACTTCATGACAGACAGATAGGTGTCTCGCAGGTTGGCAGCACCTTCGCTTGATGATTTTTGTAGGTGTTGCACGATCTTTCTGTAAATGCCGAATTTCTTGTTGAGCGCATACATGGGTAACCGATATTGGGCAGGTATAGGGCATGCCTTGCGTGACTTTCCGGTAACCTTGAGGGAACATTCTCCATCGACATCTTGAATAGTTCCTTTTACTTTCAACAGCTGCTCCGCATCGTGTACGCTCCAGTCACGAAAGTTACACAATGGATTCATGGAGGGATAATGATAGTGAGCATCGTAAAATACCACGCCGTCATATATAATATACTGCTGTATTCGGAACCGATATTCCCCTGTTACACTAACCAATAGAAGAATTAACTCAATGATGTGTCATTGGACAGTCATATATACAAGGTTTTGAGAACTCCATCAATACAAAGACGAATTCAAATTCAGTGAAAGGGTCCGGAAGACGATGGATTACACGAGGAAGAATTTATTTTCACCAATTAATAATGAATAATGACTTAATATAAGACGGATCACCTTGATACAAATGAAATTAAGGTCTCAATTCTAGATTACCGCCGTTGTACAATTGATGCAGTAGTATCGAGGAATAATAGCATCGCCTATAAGTAGCATCGCTTGGTCCAACGTGTCCATCCATCCCTCGGGCAGTCGTCCAATTTTCCTAGCCTCTTCAAGGAGCGCCTTTACCTTTATTAATATTACTGCATTGCCAACTATTCCACATGATCCCCCTCGTCGAATTGGCATAGTCAGGAGCGACATAAATCGTGGGTCGAAGTCGATACCACGATAAACTGGTGGCATAGTGACCTTGACATTGCTGTGCAGCTGACGCCCAAGATCGACGACACATTTCTCGTTAAACCACTGATGACATTTCCTACAGTATCGTTGCACAGTAGTTGGACAGGAAAAAGAGGGGTCGCATTTATGACATGCGCAATGCGTTGCTGTCTGGCAGTTCTGCATCTTCGGTGAGCTTAGGGACAACCAAAAATTAAAAGATATTTGCGTACACGGATATTAACCCCTTCCATGTACATCACATTTCTGCGCCTTGAAAATTCGATATCTATTGTCCAACGATTGTACAGGGTCATCGTGGGTATCTGATGTTGCGCTATATCTTCTTCATCATATGGGACGATGTTTGCATGATCTATGAAGAATAAACGGGGTTAAAATAAACGGGGTTAAAATAATTGCTGTATGATGAATATATAACGAAGTACACACCCTCGACACAGTACATATCAACCACAGACGTGTGATTACTCAGAACGACCTCATATTCACCGACGCAGACTGCGAGACTAAATAGTAATGAAATCATCATGAAAGGAAATTCTGTCATTTTCAATTAAAAAAGACGGACTCAACGCCCTCATCTTCTAAATCTACCTTCCGATAATACCACTGAATTTTGAGCCAAACGTCCTGGAATTGAAACATATATGTGAATGAGGACCAGTGCAGTGGAGCATATGTACTTTCCTGTGCCTGTCGACCAGTCTTCAGATATATCTCAGCTACTTTACCATACCAATATGACATCACTGGTAAACTCCCATCTTGCATTTGAACTGCACGGTCATCTAGTGGATAAATCGCGACACTGTTAGAATTATATCAGCATCACTAGAGCAATACAACAGATAAATTCATACTCTTCCCCCAAGCGAATGACCATACGACCATCATTTGAATCATCAGAATTGTCACAGGTATTATAGATCCCTGTTAATAACAAGAAATATGAACCAGCCATTTGAACGACGAATAATGAGTATTGAATTAACTTACATTCAAATGAGGTGCATCGCCTCAGTTTATGAAGCTTAGGGTGACTATGGCGCATTGCAGTCAACCTTCTCTTTCCATCTCCGTTGAATGAGCAGCTGGTAATCGACGGCCTGCAGGACATTAAAATTGGGGTGGAATTGAAAATAATACGAAGAACATTCAGTCATTGAAATAAATATGCGCCATACTACGGGAGCAGTTATAAATGTCGTAACATGTCGTTGTAATGGACGGATAAATCAAAACGTGTAAATATGACAAACGGATCATGCAAAAGTCATTGAAAGACACCAGGGTTGTCCTTACGGCATTCAATGAAATGTTACATGATGTGATGGATCAGATCAGACTGCAGGACATTAATTATCTGAGTTCCATTCTATTGAACCGAAACCTTAAGTTGGCCGCACAAGTCGGAGGCTAGGCCAATACAGGCTGAGCATCTGAGTGGATTTACAGCAGAAATCATTTTCTTGCTCCGTCAAGGACATAGTTCGCTTATATTCGCTTGATGACAGCACATGGATGTTCTAGGGACTGTTGTGCCGAATATAATGACAATTTCTCAAGGGTGCGATCACTAACCCACCCAACAACACACTGCGTCAGATGGACGAAGAGGGCTCCCTCGATATTCTGCAGCAAATACTGAAATCAAACATCCTCAATTGGGACCCACATGGATCCACCATAACAGAGACCGGTGGCGATATAGCTGCGAGTCCATCTAGCAATGCATATAACAGTAATAGGAATATTGGAGCCATATCTGCAGCCATATATACCTCCCAACAGAAGGATGAGGGGACTGATGTGGTTGAACACCCGAAGCCAAAAAGAGGCCGGCCACGAAAGCGAATTGTGCAGCGTCGTGAGTACAGATACTGTGCCCCTTATTTAAATTTGAATTTGATAACATTGAGCAGGCAGAAAGAAGGGTCCAATATTACCAAGCGATTCACTGGCTCAATATACTCCTAATATCAATAAACGAGTCATCCGTGCCACAGTTAGCCCAATAACCGAGGATTTAATGCCTCAAGACGATATAATACACCATGGAATAATATGCCACGAGGATCAGCAGGGGAAGACGACTGAGAATGAAGTCTTGGATATGACTGACATCATGCAACGGATCATGATATCTGGAATATTGGATTGGAACCCAAAGGGGTCCTTGGCTACAACACATGTAGCAGATGATAGCTCAGATGTAAATCAGCATATCAGAGAAAGGTCAGAAGAAATAGAAAGGAAACGGATATCCAAACAGAAGAATTTTTCGAAAGAACATAGGATACGGAGTCCACATGGACGACCAGCTAGGAGGGCCATCACACAGCGTACGTCCCTGCACTAAATCTCTACATTCATTCACATTACCACTATAACAGAAAAAAAGTACAAGAAATCAGTGTTTATGGATACGTTATCATCCACACAGGAGCTCAAAAATGATCACTCCGGATTCATTATTCGTGCCACCAGCAATCCCGTGCAGGAAAAGGAAAGGGAAAATGGAGATGTTGTGCACCATGAGGGTGAAAATGACGACTTTACTCTGACTGATGAAGCATTTTGCAATGGCAATGATGATGGTGCATATGTAGAGGAAGGTGCACTCTCAAAATGTCCATCTAATATTCAGCGACGTAGGGGACGTCCAAAAAAACGGGTCCTTCGTGGGAGGGTAACTGGTGAGTAGTGATGCAACTGATCATCAAAGTTAATTTTTACAAAAATACATTTACAGCATCAAAATGTCATGTAATCCCTCAATCACCTTCGATTACTTCTCAACCGGACGTCAATGAATACGTGCAAGAAAAGGGGCGATGTAAGCATCTTCATTTGACACATGAGGACATGTGTTAATGTTGCTAATTAGGGAGTCCAGCACCATCTGTGGAAAAAATACAAGATGACGAATACAGGCCTTCTCCACCACCACAAGAAATTGTGCGGCCTCAGTCCATTGCTGTTTCACAGAATAAAACAGCCGAGCTGACGGTCCAGGAAATTTCCTGTAAGTTTAGAATGATACTACAAATAAGAAGGAAAACTTATGCATTGTGATCACAGGTCGTGCAATGGCCAGACCAGTTGTCTGGACATCTGCCTGGTACAACTGGGAAACTCTCGGGTTGAATGAGTGGCTTGATGCGACAGTGGCAAACTATTATTTGTGTCATGTCTGGTATGAGATGCAAGGCCTATCACGCATGAGATATGTGGACTTGTACGCAGCGATGGTCAATCATATGGTGGATGACGAAGTGGAGCTCTTTAAGAAGTACCATTTCTTGCCCCGGGATGGCACGTGTCCTGTAGTCCCCGTTGGATTCATCGTTCATCATTCCGATCATTTCTTTGCCGTCATCTTCGACTATCAGAGACACATAGCTCATGTCCTTGGTCGCCACATTTCAGAATCCATAATGGATGTGGATGGAGTAGATCCAAATGACTGGAAGGATTGGGATGGTCCGCAATATTGGAGGAGAATTGGATCCCTTCATGGCTGGTGCACAGAGGATGTCACAAACGTCTCTGTGAGATCAACTAACTGGGTGCAAAATGGAGTTGACTGTGGTCCTATCGCTTGCTCTGTACTTGAGCGATGTCTGAGCATGGGCTTAGACGAGCATGGTAACCTGCCTGTGCTTAATATCAAATGTGGCCACATACTGCGCATTAGCATGTTGCGTGTGGTTTCAGGGCGCCTCAAGATTAGCTGTAGCGACTACCTTATGCTCCTGGACAGCCCACGGGAGAACTGGATGGAGGACGACATACCAGACGAGGACGTGATGAACGCGATTCAGAATGGACGGCACCAAGCGGAATGCTTGAATGTTCTGCGGAAATTGACTGTCATAAGTGCCACATGTTCAATGTGTCAACGTGATGCACTCCAAAAGGACGGCAAAACCCCCTCACATAATTGTGAGAATGGTGATATGTCTACAGTGGGTGAGGATAGCTTGGAAGCTGAATGCACCCATGATGAGGATTCTCTGGGAATGGCACTTTCCGCAGATAAAAAAGCAAACCTTGCAAAGCTCCTAAAAGCAAACAAGCACTTGACAGGATCTCGCAATCGAAATGCTATAGTCCCTCGCGCTATTGGAACACATCTTGAACTTGAGCGGGACATAGCTCCTGATGTCGATGACACTGTCGACACCCAACGCTCCGTAGCTGCCTCAGCATCTCGTAGGCGAGTGAAAAACTGGAATCTTGCAAGCAACAAACGCTTTCCACGTCCAATCGCACCATCTCCCCTACCTGCATATTCCGGTAGAAGGTGGCTCCAGGATGATCCGACATTTGATGAGTATGAGGGTGGACCTACAATCGAGATGTTGACAACTCCCAGGGATATTATTCCAACCATGACATTCCAGGCTGGTGGAATCCAGCTCTCAACTGCTTGGGTTGATTGGGTTGATCACGGATATCGCATCACCCCTAGCTCATTCCACATATTCTATCAATGCGACCCCATAGCCACGATGGACCACATTATGCCTATTGGCACAACAGATTTCTATGACCCCTCCAGTCAAGTTCCAGATCGAGTCACAGGTGCATACAGCCTGAATCGCCAAGGGTTAGCTGAGGAAGGACAACACACGCACATCACAGATGTAGAAATCCTCTCTTCTTCTGAACTCATCAACTCTGCCCAATATGATCCTCCACTGCATGAGGAATGTAGGTTCGGACACAATTCCTTTGTGCGTGGCCACACAAGTCATCGCTATGGTGATGGTCCTCCATTGTATGTCGACCTCGAACAAGATGCAGTGAAATTTTCCGAAGATGAGATAGAGATTTCTGTGGACATAGACAGTATAATTTGGGCGACAAGGGTATTTCGATGCAAGGGATCTGTGGGGATCTATACCACTCCGCCATTCCAAACCAAACCTGGAATATTCAAGCACAATCACACATATGTCGACATCATCATTCCGCAGTCTGAAGAAGATGCCAGAACACCTGGTGAGCGAACAGAGTGGCTGTCAAAAAGGTTTCCTATGTCCACAATCCCTCATGCCTGTATTGGACGTATCTCATCTGCCTCCTCAACACTCAATCTCTACATCGCATTTCCAAGGATGATACATCAACACCCATTGAATGGTCGAAGAATAACACTTATGCCGAAGGAGGTCTTGGACATTTTCTGGGATAGGGTGCTGCTTCCATCGATAGGGCGCTCTACTGATGTCAGCTGGGCACCTTACCTCAAGCACACCTTGGACGAGGCACGATACAAGGCCAGAGGTGCAGATGGACGGAAAGGTGGATGGGGACCTCCAAAGACAATTCCCCTGTCGGATGACGACTTCAGAGATGTGCAGGAACACATGGAAACCTATATAGCCTACGGAGGGGGTGAGCTCAGCATGTATGGATCGTTTTTCTTCATTCTGGAGGGAAAGGGAATCAAGCTCCTCACAAAGGATGGACAGAGAGGACGTTTCTCAGGACCGGAAGAGGCACTATGTCGCAACCTGTCTGACCTCGACTGGCAATATATGATGAATCGGAGGCATGGTGAACTTCTAGTGGATGTGGGTATCTCATTCACGCCCCGCTCCCCGGATGTTCCTGTGGTTGGTATTTGGAGACTGGATGCACTAGAGGCCTCATTTGGTGCAGGAGGATACAAGAGAGGCGAACTTCATCACCACAACACATTGTCTAGATATGGCGCACTGCAGGCTGAGATGCAACAGGAAAGATCACAGCAGACCCACATCGCATTTAGGAGCACCTACAACCTATACTACGAGTCCATCAGAACCAACAACAACCAAGTGAACTTCGCTTCGGATAGTGATGCCTACAAGCTTTCTCCATCCTACATGGCTGAATGCTGCGACATCATGAAGGTGGTCGAAGGGTGTAAGGAGAAGACATATGGTGTCAGAGATGAGTATAGGGTGAGTGGCCATGCAGCCAGAATAATGCTAGATAATATCGAAGACAAGGTCAGTGATACACATACAATTTAATATGGGAATGTCAGACTAATGGTTCGATGAAAATAAAGGCTAAAGATTATCTGCATTCCGATCCAATACTGTGGATCCCATCTAAGATCTGGTTTGAGCTGATCCGGAGGCGTGTGCGGGAGATTCAGAGGACCCAAATATCCATCGTAAAAAAGAACCCTCCAAATCTTGGCATCCTAACTGGCTTGCTCAACCACATGCTTCGTTCAACCACATCCACACCTATTATCTACGACCGTCATGTACGCGAATCCCTTGCACTCCTTGAATACAGAAATGTACTCGAGACAGCAGGGATGTTCTTCCTGCAAGACTTCGATCTAGCAAGCGACACCTGCCTGGAGGAAGTGCAGCAAATGGATGACGTAAATGTGCTGGCTCTCATGGGTGCAAATTCAAAGGCCCGAAGGGATAGAGCGGTGGGAAAGATAGAAGGATGGAAAAACATCGAGTCAGAGATGACAGACTATCCTCTCGGTCGTACACCAACATGGAGCAGACTCAAGACAGCCATCGCAAGTTCTCCTGGGTTGATCATGAGAGAATGGACACGTTCGACCAGTTTGTCCACAAATGAACTCTCCATTGGACGATTGATAGTCATGTTCACAAGACAAATTTGGCTCATGCTTACAAACGAAGTCTTTAAAGGTATAGCACCCTACCCAAGCTCGCTCAATGATGCCATGAAGTGCTGGACAATCACAAGCATTGATGACACCCTCAGATCTGTCGCATTCGAAGCATGCAATTCTGGGCTGCACGATAATACAGGTGTCACTCCAGGTCGCATGGGGCCCAAGTCGAAAGCATTTGTGGACAGGTGCTACCTATTCTTCCCCGATCCTGATGCATCGCACAAAGACAAATCTCAGTGGTCCACACTGTGGGAGGGAGATGGATATATTGCAGAGTTTCACAGAATGATGAAGACAATGAATGAGGATCAAGAGACATCACTGAAGCAAGGTTTATGTCAGGTATTCTCTGACCTTCACTGCCTTCCTGCGAGCGGTGCAAGGGTGTGGATTCAAAAGAATGATGCGATAGTGTTTGTGACGAATCCTGCATTTTACAGGATTGATTGTGTTGGAAGAGATGGCAAGAGTCAGAGGAGAGCTCCAAGAGCACGTCGTACGTTGAAATTGATCAAGGCAAAGCGCATATTTGCAGCTGATTTGATGGACTCACATCCATTCGACACTGATGGCAATCTGAGAAGGAAGACAGAGAGGCAAAAGCGTCGGGAGATTCACAAAAAAATGACCATGGCAAAGAGAAACAAAAGGGTACCCCCTCCTCCACGTCCACGCAAGTCCAGGCCATTTCCAATGGGTGCATCAAAACATGTGACAAGAGATGATGAAATGGATGTCGGTTAGAATATGTACAAGATGTTATATTATATAGATGCAAAAGTATAGCCCATACAATTACAAAGATGATTGCAATGAAGATGAATATCATTCTCTGGGTCCCCAGTATGCAAGATGTACAACTGTAAACAAGATGGATAATCTCATTCTAAAGAGATCAGCAATTTCTTGTCTTCTACCCCCTTACATAGAGCATCAAAACTGTTTGCTGCATCACCCAATGATCAATTTATTTGGCTTGCATATGACCGGCCTGACTTCACATATTTCATTTTATCATTTCAACTCTCAGATAATCACCTATATGTCTTTGGCTCCAGAACACTGAAGACCCAGTTGGAGCGGGCATGAAATGAGATAGATTGAGTTTATATATGACGACTCCTCCAACATAGGTACCAGTCCAAGAAAATATTGTGTTTTTAAATGGTGGAAATCTATTTCTGTTTTGTGATGTACTTCTATTTGTGAAGTTAGAGCTCCAGCACGTAAATGCTAAACAGGCCACCAGGCTAGTCAATAACTGGATAATTAGATCACAATAAAGTTCATCCAAAAGAGAGAGATAAGTTATGCCTTGTCCTCCGCCCCCCTACCTGGTGCACCAAGCAATGATCTATTTTTCAGCCTTCGTATGACTTTCCTTGTCTCATGTAGAACTAAAGATATAAATAATTAAACTGATATTGATGACTTTCCTGATCTCAAATATGCAGTGAAAATAAAGTGCGCCAAAGTTCACCGCTTTTGCTTATGTAAGCAGTGTCATCCCCCACCCAATGATTTATTTGTTCACCTTTCTTTTGACTTGCTTGTCTTCAAATAGACCTCTCCTTTTGGTTATTTAAGCCTTCCGAATACGATTGTAACACTTCTTTCTTCCCAAAAAATCATGTTCAAGAGTCATGAATGTCTGTGATGCTGAGGTCCTCAACCCAAGGTCAATTATTTCAGCCTTTATATGTATATGACTTGATCTCAGGCTCATTCTCAATGCGATTGTTCCATATATATTCAGCAGCAACATAAATATTTGATCTATCGAGTAGAATGAGATTTGCTGAATGTTCTGCTATGTGTGATCTCACAGGACTTGCTTATGTAAGCAGTGTCACACCTGTCATGGTGTCTCATGCAATGCTTTATTTTCTTTTGGCCTTCATATGACTTGCTTGGCTCCAAATAGACATGTCACTAAGGATTATTGAGCCCTCCAAATATGATTGTAATACTTGTTCCTTTCAAAAAAATTCATGTTCCAAAGTTATGGTATGTCTGTAATGCTGAGGTCCTCAACCCACGGTTGATTGTGTCAGCCCATATATGACTTTATCTTGGCCTTATTACCAAGGTGAGTTATCTATATAACATTCAGCAGCAATAAAATGTGATATTTCAAAGTCTTGTTGTAAGTGTGTCCCAGTCCACCGCTTTTGCTTATGTAAGCAGTGTCACTGCCCACCCAATGATTGATTGTTTCAGTCTTCATGTGACTTGAATGAATTTAAATAGTCGTCGTGCCCCCAATTTTACATTGGGTTGGCTGTGTCAGGCATGTAGAATGGTAGGAGATGAAGCAAGCTCACAGCCACATCATGAGTCACATTACTTATTCAAGGAGTCCAATACCTGCTGGAGTGCTCTTGATTGATGTGAGTTATGATGCAGCTTTGAGCTGGCTGATTTAACCACATAATGATGCCAGGACCAGAATTTGAACCTGGGCCTTCCTGACTCCAGGGGGTCATCCTAACCGCTAGATTATGATGTGCAACTACTCCTCTGCCCTATATCACATACAATGTAATATTGAAGTAGTATAAGGTTGCTTGATGGAATGGAGGGGAGGGGGGTACCATCATTAACAGTTAGTCTCCCATAGAGAAGTGACAACCAGCCAAAGAAAAGTGGAAAAGTGGAATAGCTGACACAGGTGTGACTTTATTAACAAGTGAATTGATACATATATATTTAGCAGCAACAGAAATGTGATGTGTCAAAGTCTTGTTCTAAGTGTGTATGTCCATGTCCACCACTTTTTCGGCGAGAGTCAGAGGAGAGCTCCAAGAGCGCGTCGGACTATGAAGGTGATCAAGGGAAAGCGCATATTTGCGGCTGATCTGATGGACTCGCCACCATTTGACACCAATGGGAATTTGAGAAGGAAGACAGAGAGGCAAAAGCGTCGGGAGATTCACAAAAAGATGACTATGGAAAAGAAAAACAAAAGGGTACCCCCACCCCCACGTCCTCGCAAGTCCAGGCCATTCCCAATGGGTGAATCAGCACATGTGGCGACAGATGATGAAATGGATGTGGATTAGAATATATACACGATGTTATATTATATAGATGTAATGAATTTGAACCTAGTCCTTCCCAACTCCCAATGGACATCTTAACTACTAGACTATCTCTTTGTATAGGGCCATGTAGCTGGAGAACATAGCTCGTGCCTTTAGCTATAGCATGGTATTTCCATAGTAGCTCAGAATTCAAGCATGTAGCGAGTTCCTCGTTATCTTGTTTATAATCGAAGACAACACTTTAGAGCTTGATGTATGGAACTGGAAAAAAGGTGAACCCATCCTGGTGATTCAAGATGAAGCAGAGTCTGTGTTACCTGTTCTGACATCTATTCTAGATATGCACCAGTCGCAAAATCACCACCTTTGCCTCCCTCATGTCTTTGTCTCTGACTGTAATGACTGGACGGTCTAGTGGTTAAGATGTCACCCCCACAGGTGGAAAGAACTAGGTTTAAAACCTTGTCCTGCCATGATTTTAGCTTTAATTCTAACTGACTCCCTCCATCTGGTCAGAGAGGCAGGAAGCTCTGGACTCTATGAAATTTCTCTTGCCCACTATGCCATTGAGTTGGCTGTGTCTGGCATGGAGGATGGTAGGAGACAAAGCCAGCTCACGGCTGCATCACGACTCGCATTAATCAAGTATTGCAACATCTGCTGGAGCTGGTTTCATCTTTTACCATCCTCCATGACAGACACAGCCAACTCAATTGCAAATTTGGCAAGAGAACTGTCTCAGAGTCCAGAGCTTCCTGCTTTTCCGACCTGATTGATGAAGATATGAGGTTGGGATGGGTGGGACCGTTGCATGGCGACCATTCTCTATGCCAGACACAGTCAAACAAATGGCAAATTGGGCGAGAGAACTTTCATAGAGTCCAGAGCTTCCTACCTCTCCTCTAAAGCATGTAGCGAGTTCCTCGTTATCTTGTTTATAATCGAAGACAACACTTCTGGCGACCATTCTCTATGCCAGACACAGTCAAACAAATGGCAAATTGGGCGAGACAACTTTCATAGAGTCCAGAGCTTCCTGCCCCTCCTCTAAAGCATGTAGCGAGTTCCTCGTTATCTTGTTTATAATCGAAGACAACACTTCAGAGCTTGATGTATGGAACTGGAAAACAGGTGAACCCATCCTGGTGATTCAAGATGAAGCAAAGTCTGTGTTACCTGTTCTGACATCTATTCTAGACATGCACCAGTCGCAAAATCACCACCTTCGCCTTCCTCACATCTTTGTCTCTAACTGTAATGACTGGACGGTCTAGTGGTTAAGATGTCCCCCCCTGGAGTTGGGAAGGACTAGATTCAAATCCTTGTCCTGCCATGATTTCAGCTGTCAATATTTCAACCCGATTTTTGTTTTTCCCATATAAATGAAGATGTGTTGTTCCTTTCTGAGGCTGAATGGAGAGAGAAACTTGTTTTTCTACTCAATGACATCAAGGCTGAAGGTGGTAATCTAAAGTGTGGTACTTACCTTCTTGGTGGTTTTGATATCTGTCTATCGTCAAATATGTTTCCAAGGCGGCAAGACAGGCCAACCAATTTGCCATTGAGTTGGCTGTGTCTGGCATGGAGGATGGTAGGAGACGAAGCCAGCTCACAGCTGTGTCACGACTCACATTAATCAAGTATTCCAACACCTGCTGGAGCTGGTTTCATCTCCTACCATCCTCCATGACAGCCAAATCAATGGAAAATTGGGCAAGAGAACTTTGATAGAGTCCAGAGATTCCTGCCTCTTTGATCAGATGAAGGGAGATATGAGGTTGCGATGGGTGGGACCCTTATATGGCGAGATTTATATCCACCATGTGTAGTGAAGACTCTATTTTGCTTGCAAACATCGGTCTGTTAAACTTTATTTGTTGGTTGGTTCAGTTCAGTTGACTGGCTTGCCTCTGTTTAAGTTTTATTTTTTGTGCGTTCATGTGATTGGTCAGACTTGAAGCAGAAATTGTTTTGAATATGATATAACCTGCTTAATGCACTGGAAACATGAGTTTGTCCATGAAAAATAACCACCTCATTGTGCTGCCTCCGCATTTTTTCTGCTTATGTAAGCAGACCCACCTCGAGCAATGATTGATTTTTTCAACCTTCATATGACTTGCTTGGCTTCAAATAGACGTTTCACTTGGGGGTATTGAGCCCTCTGAACACGATGGTAATGCCCTTTTCATTCAAAAAAATCACATTTAAAAGTTATGAATGTCTGTAATGCTGTGTTGCTAACAGTACCAACTATTTTCGCTTTTTGACTTGGTGATTCTTGGGGCATTTGAGGTTGGTTGCCACCCCTCCATGAGGGTCAAACTGTTGTTAACAGTAACAACTATTTTCGCTTCTGGGGGTATTTTTGGTTGGTTGCCACCCCTTCATGAGGGTCAAACTGTTGCTAATAGTACCGACTATTTTCGCTTCTGAGGGCTTTTTGACTTGGTGATTCTGGAGGCATGTTTGGTTGGTTGCCACTCCTCCATGAGGGTCAAACTGTTGCTAACAGTACCAACTATTTTCGCTTCTGGGGGCTTTTTGACTTGGTGATTCTGGGGGCATTTGAGGTTGGTTGCCACCCCTTCATGGGGGTCAAACTATTGCCAACAGTACCAATATATCACTTGCATGGCTCGATCTCAGGCTCATTATGAAGGTAATTGATCCATATATATAGAGCAGCAACAGAAATACTTGATCTTGCAAAGTCTTGGTATAAGTGAGTCCAAGTCCACCGCTTTTGCTTATGTAAGCTGTGTCACCCCTGTCATGCTGCCTCACTCAATGATTGATTTTTTCAGCCTTCGTGTGACTTGTCTGGCTTCATGTTGAACTTGATCTAGAGGTTATTGACCAATCTGAATGAGATGGAAATGCGAATTTGATCTGAAAAAATCAGGTTTGAGAGTCATGCTACCCCCTCCCCCCACCTACTTCACCAAGAGGCATGACTTCATGTCAATAATGATGTGAAAAGGATGTTCCCAGTATTTAAGGATCATATTAATAGATTGGAGATGGCTTCATAGTGTTCTGAACCAATATGGAATGTGATGTGCAAGTTTGCCTGATACCCCCCTCAAAGATCGATTTTTCTAGGCTTCCCATGTCTTGCTAGGACTCCACAAGTATGTTTCCTGGGGGTTCTTGATGCCTCTGAACACGATGGTAAAGCTAGTTGTGTCAGGAAAAATCAAGCTGTTGAGATATGCAGGGTCCCCCTCCCCCCCCAAACTCATATATCTTGATATTATGTAAATACCGGTATATAGAAGGATGTTCCTACTGTTTTATGATCATATAAATCGATTGAAGATGGTTCAAGAGTGTTTTGAATCCATCCTGAGACAAATATGGAAGTTTTCCTGGTACCCCCCCCAAAGATCGATTTTTACAGGCTTCCCATATCTTGCCAGGACTACAAAAGTATTTTTCCTGAGAGTTCTTGATGCCTCTGAACACGATGGTAAAGCTAGTTTTGTCAGGAAAAATCAGGTTGTTGAGATATGCAGGGTCCCCCTCCCCCCCCAAACTCATATATCTTGATATTATGTAAATACCGGTATATAAAGAGATGTTCCTACTGTTTTATTATCATATAAATCGATTGGAAATGGTCCCAGAGTGATTTGAGTCCATCCTAATTAACATATGGGAGTTTTCCTGATACCCCCCTCAAAGATCGATTTTTCTAGGCTTCCCATGACTTGCTTGTCCTCTAAAAGTATTTTTCCGGAGTGCTCTTGATGTCCCTAAACACGATGGTCAAGCCCGTTTTGTCAGGAAAAATCAGGTTGTTGAGATATAGAAGGTCCTCCTCCCCCCTCCTACCTCATATATCTTACTATGGTCACTTTTAGCTCAAAACCGATACTGTAAATAATGGTCCTGGTGCTTTTAAGACGTAGAAATCGATTGGTGATGGTCCCAGGGTCTCTGGAGGTCGAAAATATTGAGTTTGGTCACAGGTATGAAAAAGTCAGTATTTGGACTTTATCTCCACATCCCAACCGCCGTTTTCTTTCATTCCGGGCTCATATTGATCCTTGGGAATCCCTCTAACATATGTACCAGCCCAAGAAGAGAAAAAAGTTTTGAACTTTGTAACCTATTTCTGTTTTGACCATATAAATATCCTAGGAGTTGGGAAGATATGAACAACAAACACAGCTTGAATGTATGATACCAATGAAGCAACAGAAAATGATGGTATTTGCACCAGATCAGTAAATGAGCTGCCAGGAACATCAGGGCAACACTAACATAACTTGGGGTTTATACGGCTGTACTGGGGTCCAACTTGGTTGATTATCTTGCCAAAAATGATAAAGTTGGCAGCGACAAGGGGAGTAGGTGCGATGATAGTGCTGACAAGCCTGCAGTGGAAACTGTTGAGCGGGCGTGCGAATAGGTACTTCTAGATGAACACGTACTGCATTTCATAAGGCGTCAGAATCTTGGAACTGTGGCTAGACCATAGCCTGGCGCTCCATCCTAGTATTTCGAGAACACCGGCAAAAGTTGCCGTTGGAAGCATCCACCAGAGTCTAAACTTGAGTGCCTGGCTCAAGTGGATGACTGAAAGTATCAAGTCATGACCGTCCACTGTCGATAGTAAAAAAATGTACTAGTTGAAATACTGTATAACACTAGGAACTAAGGGAGCGATTTGAAGTAGATGCGAGACGTCTGGACAAGACAACTCACCAGGATACATATCCACTCTGTAGGCACATAGGTGTATGGGCCAACGCGATTTTGGTTAGCTACCAGACACTCAGTTGAAAGACGGTACAAAAAACATAGAGGGACTCACGAAGCTGACTAGCTTCAAACACAGAGGCAGTCATTTTGAGAGGAGAAATGGCCTGTGGGTGAACAGTTATGTGCAGTGGCGTTCTCGGACTGAGAAACTCGTCCTCGCCCACCCTTCTCTTTAAAGGTAAACTCCGTCACTCTGCGGGTGATGTCGAGAGCGAATGATCGACAAGAATTTGAGTCGATGTCAAGCATAACCAGATGAACGATACTCCTTTTTATTAAAGAAGTCAATAGCAGCGGTTGATCCAAAGGAAGATCTGGAATTTCGACATCAGTGAACTTATACAAGTGAATACAAGTGTCGTGTGATGGGACACTCACAGAAGGTTATGCGAATATCCAAAGTAATGCATAAATTCGGGCTCACTTGCTTTGAAGCATCCGTCGTGTAGTTGAGAAGTGTACAAGTTCTTCAGAATTTTTGGGCTAAGGAGGCCAGGAGGGTTAAATTGTGCAGATGCCAATGATTGGGTGAGATTACAGTTTAGCACGATCATTATGTATGCTTGTAGCGCTACACCAAGTTTTAAATCATTTCTAGATATGGTCACTGCCGGGAACTCTTTGAACCGGATTAAAATTGCAGGCTTTTGATTTTGCCCGAAGAAATGATCCGATGTAAGATTGAATTAAATATATTGTTTTGACTAACGGTTCGAACAATAGACATGCAATATGCACGACTCTGCTGTTGTGGTCTTGTTGCAACGCAGATTTATGCTTTTTAGGCTCGAGCAAGTTGCATTCATGCCATCGTCATTCTGAACTAGCAAAAATGTATTGTGCGAAGACCAAACGTTATCCATTCGTACTATGGGGAACTTCACCAAAGTGTCTTTCATCTGAAGACATTGAAACCTGCTTTCTTGACCCTCTCAGTTTCAGTCAGTATTTAATTTCATGAACCTGTGCGCATTAAATTTTTCGTCGATTCATCCATGCGGAAGAGCTCGCGAAGCAAATAGTGATACTGGGCTGGCGTGCTTCCAAATTTGTCTTTCCTCCACAATGCCAAATATTCCCATGTGGAAGCGGTCAGCAGATTTATGAAGATTGTTGCGATGCCCTACAATATATTGCTTTAAATACCATTCTCATCTGTTCACCGGTTCACTGATGCCATAAATGCGAGTTGGTCGCCCAGTCCATGCCCGGGCCACAAGCGTGCTCGAGAGCACATATAATCAGGTTGGGTGTGCGAAGGTCTAGTTGACAGGCGCGCCGCGTGCCATGAGATTTGGCAGGTGCCATGCACTCCTAGCACGGGCCGTGCACCCTGCTTTAGAATATTAGCTGACCTTGGTGCATCACAAGAGCAAATGGTGTGTTGGCCTTGTGGTGCAGAGTCTCACACCTGTTGACATTGACAATAACAATGCTTGGGTAGGTTTCACACTCTTTGTGACTAGCCAGAGAACACAATAACCATTGATGGGCCCGCTCACAAGACAGCTGATGCCATAAAAGTGGTTGGCACCCAGAGCAGGCCAGCAGCACAATCAGCCAATAATACCCTATTTTTGAACAGATGGAACAGACACTTTTCTCATCAAGTATTGGTAATTTAATACCAGATGCAGATCACATTGTAGTAAGTATTCATTAACTTGTTGATGTGTATTAATTTCTTACAAGACCAAGTGCAAGTGCAATTATGTTCACAGGATCTCCATTCCAACATCTTCAGATGGCATTGACACTTTATCGGCAAAGCCCCATATTAAAAACACCTTTTCAATAGCAAGACGGGGACTTGCAGTATTGTATGCCAGAACTCAAGTGTGTTTATGCAAATTCAGAGGTGCTTGCGTGCGCCTTGCCAACTGTGGGAAGCAGGTATGTTTGTGTCCGACCTGGAAATTTCACAGTGGTCTTACTTTTCACAGAGACACGAGAAAAGAAGCAAATGATATGCAATCATATGTGATGTGCTACCCACTACACAAAAATCTCGATATTTCTGATACTTTTCGTTATATAATACTATACCAAGCTTGCAATCACCATAAAAGTAGTTGTATCATTACTAGTGTCTGACGCCGATTACCATATCCCCTAATATGTATCTGAATTTCATATATAAAATGACTTTCACCTTTAAGGAGTGTTTTATTGCTATTAGTTACAGTCCATTTGTGACAAATCTTTATCTTGAGAGACAAAAACAATGAAATTAATTGGCTATACACCGCTACTTAACAAGATTTAGATATTTGGCTCAGGAATGAGGAGTTCCAGTAATATAATTGATGAGAAAGGGCTCATTGATGCTTTGAGGTGCTCAGATACTAAGTGAATAGCACGGATCTCATTACAATCTACACGAAGTTTTTCTGAAATCTATTGACTGCGATGATTTCTTGTGAAATCAAGACATTGTTCTAACCCCGTGCATTAGATGTTGACGAGAAATGGAAACTGAAGACCAAGTCAAAAATCCTCCAACGAAAACCATGGTGATCATGCACGGTATGGTCGTTATCAAAGACCGATCTGGCACTGTGAAAATACCAGCTAAAAGGCCCAGAGTAGATAATGCTACGCTATTGAATAACACATATTCATCACTATTGTGATAGATTCAAGTGAGTGAGAAAATACCTTGTCGTTCGCAACAAACTAGGAGCGCTATAGATGATAGCAACCTTCGTAAAGTGGTATTGCAAGTTATGAGACTGTTAAAATGTTCGGGTGAGAAAATAACCGCAAGAATAATCTATTGAACTTGAGCGCACGGCAAATTGAAGAGACTTCATCTTCTGCCCAAAGTGTTGTGCCACAACGCCCGCAAAAATGCAGTGGACGCTAAGGATAAGTGAAAGAGAGCATAGTGTTCTTGTTGTTACTTGGGAACCAATATTCGGAATAGCAAGTATGCTAGCATCTACTGCCATGATAACGCCCGCCTGGGCAGTGGGAAAGAACAAGGACACGAATATCAGAAAAGTGTACGTTGATGGTAAATCACATACCAGAGTGCTGTGCTTTATGTTATCGTCGTTGAAATGGTCAAGGAATTTCTTGATATCAAGCAGATTGACAATACCGTCAACGTGAAGTTTTTCAACATGCTCCAATACCATCACTGGAACACCAAACATTGCAGCTGTCGATAGCAAAGATAAAAAACGGATATTTCGGTTTCGTTTGCTTCCCTCAATTGAATGGGTCCGCATCAGACGAGCTTCTGGAAAACCATAGTAGTTGAGAAACTGGTGATGGCCTTTCCAGCAAATTAAAACTAAATTTTCGGAGCACTGATCCTGTCACTTACGTAAAATATTCCATATCCTTCCTGTTAGTTTATGCGAGTCAGTTTAGTATTCGAACGAGAGCCGCGATCAACATAAGCGCACCACAGTATGCGACGCCTTGTTCCTTCAAGGATGCATCGGAGTTGAGAAGGTTCTCTGCAATTCTGTTTAAAAAAAGGAAAAGGTTGCATAATGTCTTGCGAAGTACCAAAGCTAATAAGGCGAGCGATCACTTTCTCCGTTTGGTCGGTGCTCCAAAACAATGATGCCGCAGTCGATTGTTCCAGAATCAACCCCTCTATCATTTATTCTTTGATATCAGTCATTGCTTGATACAAGATGCGTTTCTTACCTGCCAGATACCATTCTAAGTGTGCGCGTAGCTCAGTAGCATCCGAGCGTTGCATAATATAATGTCTTGGAAAGAAATCAATGTGCTTCCTGAAAAAAATTCGTGTTAGTATCCTAGAAGTCTCTTTTCTACCTCATCAACATGTTCTCACCAAAATTGTGCCTCCAGCTCGAGCCCTGACACCACCATGGAATTATCAGCATAATCGGAACACGTTCATTGGGGAATAGAACTTGCTCTTGTGGTTCCACTCTCTCGCAAAGGCGCATTCCTGGAATAGAAGGTCGGCGTTAAAATCCTCAAACCAAGCAATGATGCGGGCATCCGGGACCACGCAATAGTATTCGTAGTAGTCTCTGTCTTCTCTTGTAACAGGCTTTACGACCATATACCATGTTTCTTCCTGCAATCTCCTGCGTGCTGCCCTTATCCAGTTCTGAAGATTGTTCAATTGATTAGGCGTGTATTTTTTCACATCGCTTCCTGTATATGTTTTCTGTCTGATTGTGAGATATGCGACAGACAAGAATTACCGATGAATATTTACTTACCATTGAGACGTCGAAATAATACAATACTCCTGAAGGATGCACGATTCCTTGCCAGACACCGTAGCTGTGTTTCCTTCGGGAATGACGTATTCAGTTTGGTTCAGTAGGACAAGGACTAACTCAACCCACCTGAAGCCATCAACCTGTTTGCACTTTATCGAGTAGTCAGGGCCAAGCGCAGAATCACTAGTATCATGAATAAAAAAATTAGAGATGTCCATGACAGGCCCAGGTGCTCCAAGTCAGGCTGGCACTGTGACTGTGCTGCAGCGAACTGGCACTACATCGTCGTAACTGACCTAGTACTAGTACTAGTAGTCACACTGACCGGGAAGTCGCGCTGATTCAAGTCGAAGGACTTACTGCATCACAGCTTTTGAATACATTTGCAACCTTGATGGCCATGAGGGTATGCCTAGTTTCAATAAGTCAGCATCTGTAAGAGTACTATGAGTCTGGCTCAGAGTCGTTGCCATTTGATTGATGTTCAACGAGGGCGTATTGACACGACTAGTCGCGGTAACCTGACTTATACCAGTAATATACATACCTATCCCTTTGTGTAGTTCTATCCCTTTGTGTAGTTGTACCTATCCCTTTGTGTAGTTGTACCTATCCCTTTGTGTAGTATAAAGGCAGAGACCGTGACGAGTCACGAGTAGTTATTCGCCGGTCAAAAATGTATTCAAGGTTTTGAACAAGAATTGCCCCTAATGTATTGACTCTAGTTAGATGGGGTGACGCTTGCAGGGGTGCACCCGCCCCACCAAATAAATAGTCTGTCGCTTGAGACACCCAATTGTCAGCCAATTGCAATCAAGCGTCTGCTTCGTCATCCGCGCATCTGCGTACTGGCGTTTCGCATCAAAGAATCCCACCGTGAAATCGAATCTTTCCTAGCGTTGTTTGGAATTAACGATGATAGAATAGTACTATTGGCCAGCATGATGGTCAAATGGCGTGACCTGCGTCGGAGGCAGGACATCTTATTTTGGGAATTATTGGAAGAAAGGGTCCGGTTACCAATACTTGAGAATAGTAAGTAGTTCCTTGCAATAATCGCCAGTATTTTTTGCTCAAATTTTTACACAGAAAGGCATCGCTGCTTGTCAGACACATGCAGCATGGGACTCGTAGGTGATAACCAGTGCGAGGAAGGCGATCTCGACAGTGATCCAGAAGCTGATTCTGATGATGATGGTGAGAGCGCTATCTCCGATTTATAACATGGCGAGGACAAAGCGTTTGTAAAGAGCTTATAGTCGTTCAATGCAGAATGGAATTAGTAGACACTCACTGCATGTTTGTGATGGCACTCGCCAATTGTAAAATGTACACATTCAATAGCGCCTTTGGCTTGTATCACAAAGTAGATGCAGTATATGCGCTCAAATTATTGCCCTGTTAAAAAATAAAGTGAGATATTCCCATGGCTGCTGTCATTTGTTGTTGGAGCAGCGGACACCGCTGAGGGAAAACTTGTCACCTTATCGTATTTAATTAACATTGTGGGGGTGAAGACAAAAATTGATGGTGTTGTTAATATACGAGTATATTCGTCGGCGCATGCGAGATGCCATTTTTCAGATGGGTTCGAAATCTACATTTCGAAATAAATTCATAGAGCCAAAAATATATGCATACTTTCCAACTCGTTATTTCATTGCTGGATATAAATGAGGCTTTGCTGTACCATGCAGAAACTGTGAGATCAATTTTGTGAGGACACAGTTTCAAGATATCGAAGTCGTATTGAATACTAAGCCCCAAGATCAACCTGCAGCGGGATAAATGTGTCCACTCATTATAGTAATACTATATTTATTCATTTATAGAATGAACATCGACGATAGAAAATAATTACAGATACATTTTAAACTGAATTACACCAACGCGACAGAGCAATAATTACCCAACGATAGAGAGCAGTAACACCGTAAGCGCCAGAGCAATCCATCAGAAGAATGACATCCTGCTTGATCTCACCATCAAGCACAGTACCAAGAATATCAAACCACATTGCGATATCGTCAACAACGGGGATCTTTCCTATCTGCCTCACACCATCTAGAACCTCCTGGGTTCGCTCCAAAAGGTATCGCATATGACACGCACTCGCCGCGTCACGATAGAGCGGCTGTAGCTGCGGCTCAAGTGGGATAGTAACAAATGTTTGTGCCGCGACCTTGATTTTTCCCCTACTCGCTCATAACTTTGCTTGATCCCATCTATATGAGCTGCATATTGGGCAGCTCTTCAGATGGACAAACGGGCCCGTCAATGCTAAACATTACTCTGGGCACATGCAGTCTGCCACGCGCACATGTCAGCAGCGCCGATTTCGCAATTCTGTCCATTGCATTTTGTAGCATGTAAATATTCATTATTGTACATGTGAGCTCGGCCATCATTGTACATACGAATGTATTAGCACTCCATAATCCACATACAAAACACAGACCGGGGGAGGCGAACAGTATGAGGCAAGTCAACCAATACATCGTAGGCCAAGATTCTATCTAACTACGACTGCATAGCGAGACTTTCACTTACTATGGAGGGAAAAAAACAAATATTTTGGGAGCTCCAGTGACTGGTTACATAGTGCTACATAGCCAAATTATGTAACGCTAAGGTGCTTGGAGGCACCTGTAGTAATTGTAGCAAAAATTCATTTCTGTAGCACATTGTTGTATTATGGAGCACGGTAGCGCTGTAGTGGTGATTCTACGTAATAATAGCAGAAAAAAAAATATCAAAGTCAACAAATGAATTCAAGGAGACACCAAGCACAAGATGCAGTGCTCGGGAGCATAATGGTCCATACTACAATGGCAGAATGAATCGTGGTCAAACATGAGTCCCACAACAAAATCATTATTGTCCTGTGTCAACTTTCGTGTTCAATCAATTGTGAATCATCCACATGCGCAGTCGCAAAAATTGCCACAGGACCAGATAGATATAAAAACGGTCAAGTTTTCTTGTCCTGCATCTCACACCTTGGCTTGCTCAAAGAAATTCCCCTACCAGCCAATAAATCATCTCAGCTTTCAACCACACAACCCTCGTCTTTTTTACTCACTTGTTCAATACCAAGACAAGCCAGGATGCCAGCTGATCGCAAAGGAAGAAGGAAACCGACAGCATACGAGGTGTCCTTTCCGGACGAAATACTCACCGTAGATAGCAACAGTACTACTGAAGTTCCTGACCATGGGAAGCCTTATCTTCCACCGTCCGGTACATTAGTACCGGAACATAAGTACTTCCCTGTCAAGCGGCAAAGCGGTGGACAGAAAGACACCGTGTACTTACTACAGGACTTTGCTTTTTTCGACTGGTGGCAAGACATGGTTCTTCTTCCAGAACTAGACGGTCATTTTGAACTCGGGTCTCGCGATATCAACGGGGCTGGTATGATTTGTGTCGAAGGACACGAGCCTGGCTTTATTCGTATTGAACCCATACAGAGTTACGACATCAACCTTGCTGACCCTGATGGGTAAGTCGCCTTTATCTTGAACTCGCTTGATATCTTATGACATTCATTTTACAGTTCCATGTATATCGAAACCGAGCGAGCTCGATATTGTCTGGGAGTTCCATCGGCGCAATACAGGAGTCAATTCAGAAAGATATTCCTACCGTACCGCATAATCCAGACGATCGTGTCCTCCGCTAAAGACCAGCCAGGACAGGAATACGAGGATTTCTTGACTAAATTTTTGAAGATGGAGATTGTCGGGGATACCCCCGAAGAGGGAGACATTTGGGATTGCGTGAGATTTATTCGTTGTTTTCATTGGAAGGTTATATTAATTGATTTTTAGGTTCCACGATTAAGACATGCGATAGAAAACCTAGAGGGAAACCTGCGCGTCACAACTCTCGTTGAATTCCTTCTGTACTCCCCTCGGCCTCAGATGATGCTGAGAATCATAAAGCCATCTGGTCTTGGAAATATGCGCAGAAAGGCCAAAGCCAAAAAAAAGCCAGAGGTGATAGATTTGACGGTGTCTGATTGATACCTGACGACTTAGGGACTAATTAGCTAGTAAAATTATATACTAGTAGCACACCCATCATACGTACCCAACTATCCATCATATGTACATTATGCTCTTAGATGATCCTTTTCATCCTGTCATTCCCTGTATCTCAATACACAAAATTGAAAATTTGGACGCATGTGTGGTTTAGTTCATATATTCTATAAACGACTCAATACAATGACTTTCCTTTCCCATTAATTCGATATTCTCATTTCAAACCCGTTATGTGAGAGCTCAAGAGCCTCAATGAGGCAATTGGTTCACTTGAATATCAGAGCTTAATTATACATGTACCTGTTGTTGGTTTGGACCGGGAATGATATATTAATAATTTGCGAGATTGTTTTAATAATGCTCGAGAGTAATAAATATCCACCATGGCCATTCCGAAATCCCTCTATTGTATTCTCCCACGCACAAATATCCACAGGAGCCAGTCCAGAATCAGTATTGTGCATTATGCCACCCACAAATTTGAGCAGTCACGTTCACAATCATGTACATTGTGCAACATGTGGATATTCATTATTTTACTTGTTAGCTTGGCCGCCATTGTGAGCACAAATGCATTAGCACTCCAATATCCACATACAACAAATGATTTTTTCCAAGCATCAAGCAATTTGTGTGATAAATACGTGAATATTTGTGAAACCTCGAGGAAGTCACAGTAATGTGTAATAGTGGCGGCCATATGCCAGAACATCACAGGTGGTGACTATGTTGATGGTGCATGTCTCCACATATCAATCAGTATTCCATGTACATATGGTGAATCAACTGCTTCATTGCTTATAAATACTATGTTTAATGAATGTATGAGGTGTATCGTGGGTGAGTCTACAATTCACCAAAGTCGGTTCATTGTCTTGTAACTACTTGAGGAAGTTTATTTTCGAATTCATGGAACAGCTCTGTCATGGGATATAGATACACAATCATACGTTCAATTCTTCCCCTGTCCTCTCAGATCACTCAATTGTGTTTGTTGAAATGCTCATCTCCAGAGTGATAACTCAATTCTGCTAGGCGTCCGCAGGAATATTTTCAAGACTACTTACAATTGCTTTGATAACATGTTGAAGAAGATATAGTAGATATTGATACAAACAGCACAGACACATCGCGCGACCGTCGACGACAGCCAGACGCCTATAAAGGCGCTAAGCGCGAGAGTCACCCATCGTGCGATGCCAGAGCGACAGCTCAAAACCCACGTAAGGAACTACGGCACGGAGATGGGACGCGTGCAAGAGTTACGCGAACAGGACAGAAACAGCTAGGAGATTGGACGCGTGCAAGAGCGACGCGAACAGGACAGAAACAGCAAGGAGATTGGACGCGTGAAAGAGTGACGCGAACGTGGCAGACACAGCAAGGAGATGTGCTGATGGGTCGAATAGTGATATAAACAGAACAGACTAATCGCGCGACCGTCGACGACAGTCAGGCACCCATACAGGCGCTAAGTGCGAGAGTCGCCCAACATGCCATGCCAGAGCGACAGCTCAAAACTCCCGTAAGGAGCTACGGCAAGGAGATGGGACGCGTGTAAGAGTGACGCGAACAGGACAGGAAAAGAAAGGAGATGGGATGCGTGCAAGAGTGACGCGAATGGGACAGACACAGCAAGGAGAGGTGATGCGTCGAATAGTGATACGAACCGAACAGATTCATCGCACGACCGTCGACGACAGCCAGGCACCCATACAGGCGCTAAGTGCGAGAGTCGCCCAACATGCCATGCCAGAGCGACAGCTCAAAACTCCCGTAAGGAGCTACGGCAAGGAGATGGGACGCGTGTAAGAGTGACGCGAACAGGACAGGAAAAGAAAGGAGATGGGATGCGTGCAAGAGTGACGCGAATGGGACAGACACAGCAAGGAGAGGTGATGCGTCGAATAGTGATACGAACCGAACAGATTCATCGCACGACCGTCGACGACAGCCAGGCACCCATACAGGCGCTAAGTGCGAGAGTCGCCCAACATGCCATGCCAGAGCGACAGCTCAAAACTCCCGTAAGGAGCTACGGCAAGGAGATGGGACGCGTGTAAGAGTGACGCGAACAGGACAGGAAAAGAAAGGAGATGGGATGCGTGCAAGAGTGACGCGAATGGGACAGACACAGCAAGGAGAGGTGATGCGTCGAATAGTGATACGAACCGAACAGATTCATCGCACGACCGTCGACGACAGCCAGGCACCCATACAGGCGCTAAGTGCGAGAGTCGCCCAACATGCCATGCCAGAGCGACAGCTCAAAACTCCCGTAAGGAGCTACGGCAAAAAGATGGGACGCGTGTAAGAGTGACGCGAACAGGACAGGAAAAGAAAGGAGATGGGATGCGTGCAAGAGTGACGCGAATGGGACAGACACAGCAAGGAGAGGTGATGCGTCGAATAGTGATACGAACCGAACAGATTCATCGCACGACCGTCGACGACAGCCAGGCACCCATAAAGGCGCTAAGTGCGAGAGTCGCCCATCATGCCATGCCAGAGCGACAGCTCAAAACTCCCGTAAGGAGCTACGGCGAGGAGATGGGACGCGTGCAAGAGTGACGCAAACAGAACAGACACGTCATGCGACTGTCGACGACAGCCATATGCGCCCATAAAGGCGCTAGACACGAATGTCACTTCTCACATGGTGTCAGAGCGACGGCTCTTTGCCCCCGTTAGGAGCTACGACAATGTGATGTGAGAAGATGTGTAACAAAGGAAGTAGAATGGGAAGAGAACGTATGAAGCGGAAGTTGAAATTGAACCACATTTTGAACCATCACGTGATAATTTTCACGTGATAATGTTCACGTGACAAGACTATCGTAAATTTATACAATGTGCACTGAATTATCATAGTGCAATTGTATCTTGTCTGGATTTTTCATAGATTCAAACAACGATTTGAGGACGTCGTGAGACTTTGAAGACGTACCTTGACTTTGAGGACCCGGTTTGACTTTGAGGACGTCGTTGAACTTGGAGGACACTTTGATGACCCGGTTTGACTTTGAGGACTCATTTTGAGTATCAATTATTTCACTTCAGCTCTATGTATTTCTTCGTGCACACTTAAATCACAGATTTATTAGTAGAATCCTAATCAATTCAAATGCGTAATAATACGAGTGTGACTCGCAAAAACGTTGAACCTTTATAATCTGGCGCTGCATTCACACTTGTTTAACTAGAATTTGACGAGTATCACGACTAAAAATATATTGGACAATTCCGTAGTTGGTATTCATGCATTCATACAGCATGAAAAATCCAATATATGTAATATATCTAGTAAAAAATACTACAGAGTGGTGAAGCGCTTCGAACAAGTCAGTAGTTCTTCTCTGCTGATAGGCTGCCCCAGATGCATCTGGATATTACTACAGTGGAAACTTTGCGGACACTTTGGTGAGTACTTATACGACTTTGCGGACACTGATGACTGTGCTACTTTGAGGACACTTTGCCTACACTTCGCGGACACTTCACTGATACTTTGGTGACTATACGACTTTGCGGACACTTTGATGACTATGCTACTTTGAGTACACTTTGCCGACACTTTGCCGGCACTTTGCGGACTATACTACTTTGAGGACACTGCGGACACTTTGCGGACTATACGACTTTGCGGACACTTTGATGACTATGCTACTTTGAGGACACTTTGAAGACACTTGGGTGACTATAAACTTTGCGGACACTTTGAGGACACTTTGAGGACACTGTGCGGACAGTATCGATTATTTCACTTCGGCTCCATCTATTTCTTCGTCCAACATAACTTATAGATTTACTAATAGGATCAAGATAAATTCCCATGATGTATCAAACACAAATGTGACTCGCAAAAGAATTGAAGAGTTATAATATAGCGTTACATTCACGATTGTTTAACTTCTCGGTCATACCTGCACATCCCACCTAATAAGAATGTATTGTACAGTCTATTCATACAGCATGTCAAATCCAATTTTAAGTAAATATATAGTAACTACACTACAGCGCAGTGAAGCGCTTCAAGCAATTCAGCAGTTCATCTCTACTAATGGGTTCACCCGGATGCGTCTGGCTATTGCTGCCATGTATCTGCTTCTTGCGATACACGCTAGTTGCGTTCTTGAGGTCCTTCCAGAAGTTCTTTATGATCGCGTTGCCGATATCATGCGCCGGCTTTGTGGTGTTCGTCTTGAACTTCGGCTTTTCAGTGCCGGCGGCAACATATTTGTTGCAATCGAAGACCATGATGCAAAGAGCAATCAAAGGCCTGCTGTATAGCTCTGAAAAATTATGTCAAAAGTGTCCAACGTTGTACAAGTAGAAATAGACTCACTAATACGACGCGATATGCGCGGTAAGTTAATGACCATTCGCTGAAAAGTTTCCAGAGAATGCTCGTGGACTTGGTTAGTGAGGGTCCTTCCTTGCTTGTGGTCTATGTATCGAGAAAGTTCCGTTAGATGCATGGTTTCGTAGTTGTAGAAATGCCCTCCGGTGGCAAACGAAGTTACTGGTGTATAAACCGCGTGGAATTGGCCTGGAGGTTGTATACTAGTAATTATGAGTAAAAATCCTTATAAAATAACAATGTACTCACAGCATGTCACCGGGTAAGAGAGTGACAATTTCTCCGTGCCAAGTCTCCTGTATTTTCTTGCGGTTTTGATAGAGATCCGTGAGTTCGGGGGCTATTTCGGAGAGGTGGGTCCGTGTGAGCATGTCCTCGTGAACGTGTCGCCACAGGCCCCATTTTTTTTCGCCTGTTTCGACTTGCACGAATGTCAGGCTACCATCCGAGTCGTGGTGCGGATGTGTCCAAAACGCGGGGCTATGAATCAACGCCCACGAGTGTACGGTGAAGTTATCCGGGTGGACCTTTTCACCGACGGGGCAGTCAACGGTAGTTTGATTCCATCCGTTGACGATACCGCTGTCGAGAGTGCTAATAATGGACGGGTCAGCTAACTTAGTAGTGTGATGGATTAGAATAATGATATGGGTACGAACCTTAGAGCTGACGGGAGACCACCTTGTCCGTATCCAACGTCTAGAATACACTGGATCTTGTTAGGATCGTGTATGTTGTTCACGAACTCTTCGAGAGTTGCATGCTGGTGGGGAAACGTGAAATCCTTGGTACGTTGTTCAGCGTCTGTTGTAACAAGGTTAGATCGTGTGATGAGTATACAAAATTAAAATAATCATACCATGTATGACGACGTGCATTAAGTCTGACATCCCGCGATCTTCGAGGTAGTCTAGATCCAACGTTGCAGGTTCGGGTGTGCTTATGTTCCGAATGACGACGGCTTTGTTTACCCGAATCGCCGCAGAGATCTCGTCGCACAACTGTCGGCTCTTTGTGCGCCAGTCCTTGTAATGTAAATGCACGACGTTTTTAGAGGTCTCTGGAAGCGATTCCGGGAGAGAAGCAAAGAAAGCCACTGTGTCGGCGTCTTCTTGGCATATATTGACGCCATCCCTCATGATGCACGGTAGTACCGTCGTGGATCCATCAGACCAGTCGATGGTGTCTGATTTTTCGTGTACTTGAGTGCCGATAATGGGAGTCGCCCGGTCGCGAGAGTCGAGATTGGTAAGGGTAGAGAAGGTAGGCGAAGAAGGTACAGGGATGATTTCGACGGGCAGATTGACGAAAGGTTCCGGCGCATCCGTCATCACCTCAGCATCGCGCATTAGAGGGAGAGTGGGAGTAGGCGCGGCAATCTCCTGGTTGAGGAGAAGTGGGTCGATAGGGATATGGTCCGGGCCTGAGTTAGAAGGTCCCGCCTGAGGAAGGGTTTCCTCCTGGTTGAGGAGGATTGGGTTGATAGGGATATCGTCTGGGGCTGAGTTGGACGGTCCCGCCTCAGCATGTGTTTCGGGAGAGGAAACACGCTGTTTCTTCGCAGGACCTTGTCCTTCGGCGGGGCCTGCGTTGCCTGTTTGGTCGGCCTTCTCCTTTTCCTCCTTCTTTCGCTTTCTCCATGCACGTTTGTTGGCCGCGTTCCTTTCCTTGATCTCTTGCGCCCGAGCAGGATCGCGCTTCTCGTTGGCGAGCCATCGTCTTTGACGTTCGCGTTGCTTTTCCTGTTCGGTAAGATTAGATTCGGAAAGATCGGCGTGCTGAAGCCTTGGCTTCTTGTCCGGTTGGTCGTGCTGTGGCATTGTATATCAACGAGGAATTCACTTATTTAAGATAAAACTAAGCGTGGGGTTGGTTATGATATGCTATTAGCTCGTAATGTTACGAGCTTTGCAAATTCAAGATGGGGCGAAAGAAGTTAAGAGGAAAGAAGGACGAGCGGCGGGGTCAAATAAATGGATTTGAATCGGCCACACGCATTAATTAAGGAGACACTTGCACAATTGTTGGCTTCAACCAACAGTGGACTTTTGACAATATCATCGATTTGAAGGATGTGTTTTACAGGAGAAGTTGATCTTCATAAGCTTAGTAAGGAAAGTGTGAATGTGGTGAGTCTTGGAAGTGTGACCGTGTCCTCAAAGTCATAATACATTCAGAGCGGTCAGACACTTGGTAAATAATCAGTGTGAATATAGTCATCGGTCTTGGAAGTCCATTAATATTAGGTATAGTCCAAAAATTGTGCTCAGAGTCATATCAAGTGAAAGTACGACTATGTGGTTAAAATCGCCAAAGTCAAGTAAGTCTAGTAAGTCCTTAAAGTCGTGGTAAATCCTCAAAGCGTCCTTGAAGTCGTGGTAAGTCCTCAAAGTGTCTTTGAAGTCGTCATAGTATTCAAAGTGTCCTCATAGTCGTGGTAATTCCTCAAAGCGTCCTTGAAGTCGTGGTAAGTCCTCATAGTGTCCTTAAAGTCGTTGTAATTTCTCAAAGTCTCGTGGTAAGTCCTCAAAGTGTCCTCAAAGTCGTGGGTGGCAAGTCCTCAAAGTTCGGTCTTGGAAGTCCAATAATAGTAGGTATATTCCCTCATATTAAGTGAAGGTACAACTACGTGCTTAAAGTCGTCAAAGTCTGGTGACTCCAGTAAGTCCTCAAAGTTACAAAGTGCGGCCATATGCTAAAATTCTCAATAGTCCGTCCCATAGTCGCGATAATCCTCAGCGATAGTCCTCAAAGTTTGTTGTTGGAGTGTGCAGAGGTTCGTTGTCGGGGGGAAGTGTATGTTAGTCATTGGGAGTGTGCAGAGGGTCGTCATCAGGACGGATCTTTAAAACAATAGTGAGACTTGTGTGTGTTTGAATATGAACACATACCACTTGTTCAGGTTCCACACTCTTGGGCCCGCTTGCATCGACATACAAAGCGTTGAGAATCGGCGCTCTCGCGTGTTTGTTTCGCAAGTGCTCCCAAGGTGGAAGCACGACTAGCACCATACGATAAGGACATCTCGCCGGTATCATTTGCAGGAATAGCACACAAGCCATCCGTACTAGTCACTTGGTGTCCAGAAATGCCTGGCGCTTGTGCAGAGGGATCTGAAAAAGTGAGTGTTCCAAAAAGGCCAGGAGCGAGACTAACGGTTTACAGTTGGAATTCCTAAGTTTTATAACTAACTTGTGTTGAGTTTTTCTGCGATCAAAAGAACCAGGAAGAAACGGACCCGCTTGTGCAACCAACTCCCCATGTGCACTCCAAGCTTCCGCGTCATGGAGTACTGCCCAATCCCATGTAGTTACATCATCTGTAGCGGCACAATCTATCGTTCCACGCCAAAGAGAAATGAGGAGGTCACTGAGGTTACCAGCTAGATGCATAATATCCGTGGTCGTACAGTTGGGAACTCCAAGGCAACGTGAAGGGTTGAGTCTAAGAATAAGAGGTGGCTTCGTGATACTGGTCTCTGTCCTGCGCATCTCCAATTGTCGTTGACTAGGGGATGGGACGAGGTGGCGTAAATTGTCAGCATATTCTTGAGAACCACCAGGGGGGAGGCGAAACACACTAATATCAGCATGGTCGCTACCAGGTGCACATTGACCTAGTGTGCATGTGCAAAGTTTGCCGAAAGTTCGTTGCGCAGTTGCAAACTACGCGATCGCAGTCTGACAATATTTGCATTTTCTTCCTTTGCCAATATTCTTTGCGTTTTGCACAAAATTAGGGTTTTGCTTTCTCGAAATTCTTAGATTTATATCTACCTCAATTTGTGGTTAGACATCTATCTACGCGTATCTACCTCATTCTTGTCGATTTTGATTGGGCATCAATCAGCAAACTTGACATTTGAATCGTGAATGGTAGTTAGGCGATCAGTACAGCGATCATCTGTTGCAAACCAGACGCTTACCATTTCAAACTTGGGGTGAAAGTAGATCAAATGTGTTTTACGATGTGTAAATATATCTAATATATGTATGTATGAGTGATCATCTAAGTGCCTCTGAGAGATTCGCTCAATTAACCAGGTGGACCGCTTCACGATTCAATAGAGTCACCACAGTCCACAGTATCTAGTTCACTTCAAATACGCTTGTCTTCGTCTTCATCCTACAACTATCACATTATTTTGTGACTTACAATCCTTGTCTCTTATAATAACTCACAATGACGCGACCCCAACCCCCGACCAAACCAAAGCAGCCTATCGATGGCGCACCACCAAAAGTCAGGAGGGTCGGAAGGATGACGGCGCCCACCAACAGAAGAGGGCCTAGGAAGATGAAGACGATGCGTCGCGACAGTCCGGTAGACACGCAGCCCGACATTCCAGTGGACACGCGGTCCGAGAGTCCAATCGACACGTTGAAGACTCCAGAGGAAAGATTCAGAGAAAGATACAGGAGGGAGAGAGATGAGGAGAGAGATGAAGCCATAAAGAAGGCATCGTTGAGAGATAAGGCCATCTTGAAGGCATGGGATGAGAGGGTTAACAGGACGTCATCAAAGATCCCAGCCAAGAAGAGGGCTAGAGATGACGACGAGGTAGAGATTGTGGAACCCGCCCCCAAGAGGGCTGGCACAAGAAAGGAGAGGGTCGCGGATGAGGATGATGAGGTCGTGATTGTAGAACCCCCCGCCAGAGATGACAAGGAGGAGCAGGAAAGGCGTCAAAGGAACAGGCAGGAAAGACGGTTGAGATTGTTAAAAGCTGGACTTTTGAAGTAGTTAGTATATATATATGCATTTACCTGTAACATCAACATCTCTATTGAATCTCTAGTCTTACCCATGTTTCAAATTCTATCGACACAGCGGATATATAGCTTTGCACTGTAGCTTAAGCTTTTTGTATATGCATCATATTTCGCGTTTTGTCATATATAGCTACACTTTAATATTACTACGAATCGATTCAGAAACATACAAAACATTAACAACAAAAAGATCCTGAACATCTGGTTAAAATCGAGTGAGATAAGTGAGTTCGACATTGAGAATAGCGCGCACGAAGTAGTGTCCTGTCAATCTGGTTTGAGGGAACATTTTAATTGCGATAATCTGGCAGATATAGTTAGAAATTTTAGAAAACGACGGAAACTTTATACTCACTGGAAGTACATCAGCAAGTTCATCCCCTGACTTCAACAGTGCTCGCCAGTAATCACGTGGGGTCTGATTGGAGCGCATCTTGCGATTGAATGAATACTAAGCACGGAAATAAGCCTCGAACTGATTATGAAGTGCTTCAGCCAGACCCAGATGTGCGAGTGCGGAGTTTCGACGTTGCATCTCAGCTTTTGGGTCAGTATATTTGGCTGTGTCGTGAACATTACCATATTTCCGCTGCAAAATCTTTTGAATGCCAAGAGCTGCTCGCTTCGACATATCAGGGGGAGGTTTTGATGCACATGTAACTATGTTGTCCTTGCTTTGCCGATTATTCAGGATGAGATCTATCGCGATTGGATTGGCCTGTTTATACGCTGGAACATTGTGAAACACTGCACTATGTTGTGAGTCTATAACGAAGACAACACTCACCGCCATATCAATTCCAAGATCAGTATCTTCAAGGACAGCCTGAAATGCTGGCAATCCACATTTTATTGATAGTGCTGCCCAATAAATAGTACCAAAACGAGTGTCACCAATTACTTCAAGCCCAAGACCAGCTCGTTTGTGATTATAAATGCTCCATCATGTAGATTGATGTTGTTGCGCGAGGTACGAGTTGACGACAATATCAGTTGATATGATCCGTGCACGATAGGCAGCGGATTTTAACGTCATCCGAGTTTGTCGGAAAGCAAGTAGTATAAGTAAATACTACGGAACAATCAAAAATGAGTTGAGATCCTCCTGTTCATTTTCGTCTGTACCGTCTCTCTCAAATTAGCTCGTATCTTGCCTCGCAACACCTGAGCGACTCATATAGGCCAATATCATCCAGACCTGTTGGATGACCTAGAGAGGAAACACGAAAACTGTAAGTAAACCTCAATGAAACCAATGCCCACTCAGATCCTCAAACTCGGATAATAAGCAGATATCCTTCACAGAAAGCTTCAGGAGATGATAAGCGTCTTGAAGGTTGATTATGTGGGGGTAATGCTCAGAGTAGCCTCCGACCCTTCTTTGTGTTGCCTTTTATTATCTGACATTGCTGCACAGAAATTCCATGACCCGACGTTCTTAATAACCTAACAGTGTCAGTATATCTATCAATTGTTGCTAAATTGACATTGAACTGAAGCAACAGGGAGTTGGACAGATGAGCCCGCTATCACACCCAACTAGGGCGACAACTCGAAAGCCCACGCGAAAAGCAACGGGAAAGAGATGGAGTGTGGGATATGCATAAGGGCCGCACAAAAATAAACCAACTAACATATTGCACAACCTCCGGCGAGAGCCGGACAATATGAAACGCGTCGAATGGTGATGCGAACAGCACAGACTCATCGCGCGACCGTCGACGACAGCCAGGCACCCATAAAGGCGCTAAGTGCGAGAGTCGCCCAACATGCCATGCCAGAGCGACAGCTCAGAACTACCGTAAAGAGCTACGGCAAGGAGATGGGACGCGTGTAAGAGTGACGCGAACAGGACAGGAAAATAAAGGAGATGGGACGCGTGCACGAGTGACGCGAACAAGACAGAAAAGAGAGGAGATGGGACGCGTGCAAGAGTGACGCGAATGGGACAGACGTAGCAAGGAGAGGTGACGCGTCGAATGGTGATGCGAACAGCACAGACTCATCGCGCGACCGTCGACGACAGCCAGGCACCCATAAAGGCGCTAAGTGCGAGAGTCGCCCATCATGCCATGCCAGAGCGACAGCTCAGAACTCCTGCAAGGAGCTACGGCGAGGAGATGGGACGCGTGCAGGAGTGATGCGAACAGGACAGGAGATGGGACGCGTGCAAGAGTGACGCGAATAGAACAGACACGTCGTGCGACTGTCGACGACAGCCATATGCGCCCATAAAGGAGCTAGACACGAATGTCACTTCTCACATGATGTCAGAGCGACGGCTCTATGCCCCCGTATGGAGCTACGACAATGTGATGTGAGAAGATGTGTAACAAAGGAAGTATAGAATGGGAAGAGAACGTATGAAGCGGAAGTTGAAATTGAACCAAATTTTGAACCATCACGTGATATCTTCCCCGTGACAGCAAATACTGCACCGCACTCAATGGCTATGATGCCAATCACTGCGTTCTGGGTGAAAGTGAATGCCATGTGGCAAGGTGGCTGTAGACAGACTTTCAATATGTGTACAAACACCACGTGTATGTTCAGAACCTACCACGCTGTACAGGTCATGCAAGACCACCTTCCCAGACCTCGTCCGGCGCTGCTTGTACTCCCTCAGTGTATGTCCGAGTACCCATGTTCATCTCAGTTCAATATCGGTGACCAATCTGTGCAACTCACTGGGCCTCTCACATAGCCATGGCCTTGGTCCAATGAGGGCAACACCATGCACATATAAGTAGAACAACCTCAATATGTCATCGTTGACCCAGTTTCTTGCCGAGACAGTTCTAAGTCCCTAGCCGCGTGTTCCGAAGGGTTTTTATCCAACATTCATTCAATAACTCACGATTTGCAGCAATTTTATGCCACAAGGCTCGAAGCAGAGCACAGGGGTGCACAAGGCAAATAAGGTGAGTACTTAGAGCGAACTTCAGAGTTTTTGGTACTGAATCAGGTCCGCTTTCCAGAGGATGCTGATAAGCGCCTTGTGCATTGTATCTG